GACAAAGACGGCCGTGTTGCTCGCTTCCCATGGGTTGTTGTGTTTGGTTAATTTTGAGAGCCTTCTCCGCCCTTGATTCCTCTTCTACTTTAATTCCGTACTTATTATTTGACTTATTGTGATTATTTAATCTGATATCCCGGCTTATCTTTGTTCAGAATATAATTATCTCTTCCTCCGTGGTGCCTGGTTTGAGGTTTTTTTAACAAAAGGATGTCCTGCTGACCCCCCCGCCTGCCATTCCCCCCTCCCTTGTTCCTTTTGTGTGAAATTCGGGGAGTTTATGACCTTGATTACCCTCTTTCATGCCGTCTTTCCTTTGAATTGAGGTATGCGCGCATGTGTGGAGGTGTGGGGGCGTGTTCGTTCCACGTTGCCCCGTGTCTATTAAAAAAAAAACAATATTATATATGTTGGCAGAATAATTCTTAAAAAAAATAATATTAAAAAAAATAAAAAAGGGGGTACATACACAACACCATCATCACCACCACCACCACTATCATTATCACCACCACCATCATCATGACCATCATCACCACCATCGTCATCATCACCACTTTCATGACCACCATCATCATTACCACCGTCATCATCACTACCATCAACATCATCACCACAATCATCATTACCACCACCATCATCATCGTGACCATCATCACTACCACTACCATCAGCATCATTACCACAATCATTACAACCATCATCATCGTCACCATCATCACTACCACTACCATCAGCATCATCACCACAATCATCATTACCACCATCATCATCGCCACCACCACCAAAACCACCATCATCTTACTGTTTGGTTCTTTCGGTAAAGTCACGTAGGTAGAAAAATAAAATAATGTATCACGACGTTTCGATCGCAACACAAGCGGTCGTCCTCAGGCGAAACAAAACCCAGCAGTAGAACTGCTGGACCAGGAAGAACACAGCGAGAGAGCTGCTACCACAGGGGGGTTATATTTGTTTGAGGGGGTGTCGCCCAAGGGCAAGCAAGCGGGGTCCGAGCTGGAACGGAGTCCCATCCCCGCACGCAAGCACATCAGCTGTGTCAATGGGGGAGGTTAGGGAGAGAGAGTGATTAGGGAGAGAGAGATTAGCATGTCAAAGTAAATGAGCTTCCGTCGCTGTGTAAGAGCACCATCGCCGCACACGCGCACAGCAGCAGTGTTAATGGGAGATGAGCACCATGTTAATGGGAGAGAGATTAGGGAGATTAGCAAGTCAATGTCAAGTCTATGTGTAGCACAAGCTGCGGCGCTGCCAACTGCGCTGCGAGAGGCAAGCGCGTCAATGCAAGAGAACCACCACAACAGTGGCAGTGCCAGTGAGACACACAGCCCATAACACAGTAAGAACCATCGATACATCGAGGCTAAGGGAGCAGAGGTGTCCATGTTAGTGAGACCCCAGCCCGTTAATGCAAAGGCACCCAACAGGGCAATGCAACTCAGAGAGTCGGAGATAACAGCCAAACGGCAGGAAGGATGACTTTGGTTAATAACGTCCTTCCAATGATTGCTCAGCTTATACCCATCTTCTCGGTTGAAATTGTCTCCGTGTTTATATATTTGGATGGCTTCATGGACAAATACTTTTTGGTTCTTTCAGTAAAGTCACGTAGGTATAAAGTATAAAATAAATTAAATCACGACGTTTCGGACGCAAAACAAGCGTCCGTCATCAGGCGGAACCACAGCAGGAAACAGTTGCTGAAGTAGGCAAAAGAGCTGCTGATAACAAGGGGTTATATAGATGAGGGAGGGGGGGAGGAGACATGTCGAGCTTGCGTGCAGCAAGCTCGACATGTACGGTAAATAACCTAAAGCACGACATTGGGTCTCTACAGCTGAAAGTCAATAGTCCATCAGGTTTGTGTTATTTTCTTCAAAGGTCGTCTACATTACGACACACAACTCTATCATCTATCCTATAGACCTGATATAGAACTCAACATGTACACTTTAGAGCCATGGGCCCAGTGCCACGGTGAACTGGGTTCAACCCCTGGCTACGATCTCATCACCACCAATGTACATCAGAACCTTTGACTGCTCCTCACCGACATTTACGCAGTCTTAAAACAACGTCGCATAGGAAGTGACTCAGGTCAAAGTGCTGAGTTAGCGCCACTCAGAAGCATGGTTTCAAGCCCAGACATTTGTCTGCGAGCTAACCGAGTCCCAAAGTCGAGTGAGTTGATGGACTTAGCCCCTCCTTTCTGCAATTCTGCATTTAATTTACGAAATAAAAACTCTGAGAATTTAAAGTATTGATTGTCACGCCATAAGCGCTGTTCCATGTGGAAGAGCAATTTGGGAAAGTCTCGCTCCCAACTATGTGGGAGCGGGACTTTCCAATTAATCTATATATATAAAATCGCGAATCTGTCTGTCTGTGTGTGTGTGTGTGTCCGGACCATACGCACTTTCATTGGACGCCGGTTGCCCCTGGCAACGGCTAGCGACGCCTTCGCCGCTTTCATTGGACGGCGGTTGCCCCTGCCAACGGGTAGCGACGCCTTAGCCGCGGGCTGCAGTTTCATTGGACGGCGGTTGCCCCTGCCAACGGGTAGCCACGCCTTTGCCGCTTTCATTGGACGGCGGTTGCCCCTGCCAACGGGTAGCCACGCCTTCCCAGCAGCCGGGTGGACGCCATATTTTTTATTCCCGTTAAAAATAGGTGCACGCATTAACACGCGACTCTGACGTAAATTCAGCAAAGTTTAACGTCCTCTTCACTCCCCCCCCCCCCCACCACAATGTGTGCAATTACTATTATAGGCTCGGTTGATTATTAAATTATAGCGATTACACAGTATTATTGTAGCGCGGGGGGGGGGGGAACGCCACCCGTACCCAACGTCAGCCGGGTGGGAAAATCAGGCGAGGCCGGAGGCTCTGCACGGTGCTATGCCTCGACACCCACCACGCAACTCTGAGGTAAATTCATCAAAGTTTCACGTCCGCTTCACTCCCCCCCCACAATGTGTGCAATTACTATTATAGGGTCGCTACATAATAAAATTATAGCGATTACACAGTTGAATTAGCCATGTTTGTTTGTTGTAGTACAGACTTAGCCTCATCACTTTCATCTAAATTGTCTTATGGTTGTTATTCTTTGACTTGCATCCCACTGGGATTTTTGCACACAGCGTTGAAATACGCTGTTTTTTTCTGGAAGACTGCTGTTTTTTCCTCCAAATTTCTCTTGCGTGTAATCACTTTAAGATGCTTCGTGTTCTTTTTTTATTTGTTGCGGTTGTACCCCAGTCAAGAGCCGCATGACTCTCAGGGTTATCTATATAGATAAAAAGGAAATTTGTGAATGTGTGTCTGTTAAAAATGTTTAACGTACTTCCCCACATGCAACACACTTCAAATTTGCCATGTGGGTACCTTAATAAGTGTACACCATGCTAAAATTCTAAAAAGAGACTTTTTCTTTTTATTTGGGGTGGGGGGAGCGCAATAATGCATATATTTTGCACGGCAAGTGAGCTGTCACGTCACATCTCTGTCATGTCAGCCGCGCATGTGGAAGCGTAAAGCAGTGTGCCTGCTCATCTCACCACCCCCCACCAACCCTCCGCGGCGTGGCTACAGTGCCATAAAAATGTCTTCCAGGTCTAAGGCGTTGTTCGCAAAGCATTGCTTTATTATTTCAGTCGTTTACTGCCGTACGCACCCTGAAAGTTGTGTGTGTCTGCTGCAAGCGCGTGTATGTGTACCTATGGACGCGTGCGCGTATGTGTGTGTGGGGGGGGAGCGGAACCCGGCGACCCAAATTCGATTCCCGCTCATGGCCACCACCGGTGAGCATTATTTTTACCGCTCCTGGGCCTCCCCTAGGGCGACTCAGCCTGAAACGAGTAACTGGTGTGGTGTGTGAACATCGCCACTGGGAAGACAAAGGCAGGCGTGGTGAATCCAAGACCCGGGCGAAGCCGGGTAGTAAAGCTAGTGTGTATGTAAAGGAGAGCCGACACAAGATTGCAGGGGTTTCGTCTTTTAATCCTCTTCTCCCATCCACACCTGTCCCCAGCCGTCCCAATCTCGTTCCCGCTAAAGGCCCCCTCTTCCCGCCCGTTCTCCCCTTATATCTCCTCGATCACCCCTCCCACTAACCCTCCTATTGGTGGGAATCCTTCCCCTGACACCCCTACATGTATATTAATGACGGGACACGGGGATAACATTTGGTAAAAAATATATTTAAAAAAGCCTTGCCCAACGCGGTTTCATCTAATGCGTGTTTTAGATCTAGACGGTTATGGCTGATGAGGTTTGTTTTCCACAACACAGGGGTGGTATTTCGGTGATACGCAGTTTGACGCTGAGAACATTTTCGTATCTGCATAAAAAAATGGTAGTGTGAATCGACTGTGAGAACGATGTATTTACCTTGAATGTCTGTGTGCGCGTGTGGCTATGTTTTTTGTGTGATAATGTAATGCACTCAAAACGCACAGCAGCAGCACAACGTAAACGTTCAAACATAACCGCATACATCTAGTTATTGAGAACGTTAGTCATGCAGACGACTAGATGGTGAATTATTCATGTTAAAGTGACAGTGTTAGTGGCGAGCGTAGGGTGTGAGTGCCGTGGTGCGGGAAGAATGGAGACGGGGGTTTTGTGTTGCGTTGAAATTGACAGAGTGTACACATACACACACAAAACGTGAGAACGACTCGGCATCCGTTAGTACAAAAACGAGGGCGGGCATCTTGTAGTATTAGTTACACAAAGAGGGAGCGGGTGATAATTTGGAAGGTAACCCGAGTTTTCACACGAGTTCTGTTTTGTGTCTAACAAAGTTGTGCCCAACATGGCATTTTCCGGGAACGTAACCCCCCCGCGTTGGACGAGGTCTGCCTGTTCTGTACTTTTAAAACGCATTGTTACTGACAAATGTTTAGCGCTGATACATTTATATTAGATAAGAAAAGATACTAATGTGGGCATTGTGTGCGATTTCCCTAGATCTGGTGGTTGTGACCCCAGATAAAATGGACGCCATGGCAGGCACTACATTTATCCTGCCCTGCTCCTACACCTGCACAATCAGCGGCGTTACCTACACGCTGGTGGAGTGGTTCAGGATCACCGTCGAGCGAGAAGAGAGGGTGAGTTACTCCTTTGTCCGTTTTGTGCACCATTTGCCGATCAATTGCAGCAAGCACAAGCGTGGAATTGATCAGTCTTGTTAGTAAACCTGGTCACATGACCCTTGAGCATTTACAATATGCAACGCAGATGAACAGGTTTGATATTTTATATCCAGATCGAGGGCCCTTGGTCGCGTGACTGGGCGGAGGCATGGGCCAGCCATTTGAAAACAGTCTCCATGTGAAGCTCTTTTGTCAAAAGTTAATCCAGCCCAGTTGCAAGCCCTGGAGAAGAATCATTCTCGGGTTTTATCTGAACGAATTTTATGCTGAAATAATATAATGCATTTGATCTCTTTGTTGCTTTCACCTTTATTGACCACAGATTTATCAATACGACAATGGAGAGAGCAGCCGCGGGCCTTTACAGGCCACCTGGGTGGGTGATGTGTCCAAGTGTGATGCCTCCATCACCGTCAGCGACATCCAGACCCACGACTCTGGGCGATTTCGCTGCGAGGTCACAGTTTATTCCCAAACTATGCAATACCACATTGGGTATCTACAGCTGACTGTCCAGCCACGAACAGGTTTGTATCACGTCCTTCATAGGTCTGTCCTACCACCCACTACTCCCATCATCTGTCATGTAGCCCAGACCTAACACTCAATGTCCAACCGACAAATTCACGTTTTGCTTTTCGTGTTTGGTTTGTTGTCCTTCCCCCACACCTCCGTGCCTGGCTACGTACGGTGTGAAAACAGTTCAACATTAATACGTACATGTGACAGAACCGTGCACATAGAACCATGGTCATCTGGGTTCAACTCCTGTCTGTGACTCTTTGATTTTGTTGTCCAATTGACATACAATCCTGGCTTTGGCCTCCTTTTCATTGACTCAACCTTAAAACAACTTTGCTCATGAGGTCGCCGGATGGCTCAGAGGTCAGAGTTCTGAACTAGCTCTGCTAAGAGAGCTTGGGTTCAAGACAAAGCGACCTGTTTGTAAATCCGATGTAGGGTCTCATGAGTTTGTCATTCTTTGCCTGGTTACCTGGGTACACTTGCAAAACAGATGTTCATTCTCAACGGATTATCAGTACTAGGCAAACATCATAACATTATATTTGGTTATCTGACGTTGCACTTAATTTGGCTAATTCCAAGCTCTTGGCAGTTAAACAAACCAGCCAGAGCTCGTCTAATGCGGGGGTTACGTTCCTGGAAAATGGCGCGTTGGGCTAAACTGCGTTCGGCAAATAATAGACCTAACGGGAAGACTATAGTTGCATTCCTGGGTCCAAAATTGCACTGCTCTGCTAGAGACCTAGAGATGCTTCGTCTATTGGAAAGTATTTGCCCGCTTTCTCTGTCCTAATTGTCACCACTGTGTTGTGAGACCAGCAGCACCTCCGGAGGTTCATTCCCACTGCTAATGTGACCATCGTGGGTTTGTCCACAGACCTGGCCGTTGTCACCCCGGATGCAAAGAACGCTACAGTAGGCAGCACGGCTCTCCTGCCCTGCTCTTACACCTGCACCATCACGGGCATTAGACACACGCTGGTGGAGTGGTTCAGGACCATAGACGGACACGATGAGAAGGTGCGTCACTGTCACACTTGCACACGATTACTTAACCCTCCTGCTCACAATGATGATTACATGTTCTTTATTAACGCCCGTTAATGCTAATTTATTTCAATGGAGGTCACCCACCCTTCTTTTCTGGTCCTATTGTCAACTTTAAAGTTTTTCAGACAACAGAATAGTGTTGTATCTTCAACTAAAATAGTTTAAAATTCTCTCTGTTCTCTCTACTCTGAAGAAGAGTCATTTCCTAGATGTATTATATATTTTTTGTTATAATTCAATGTTATTTACATATTGTCAGTTTTCCGAATATGAGCATGTGTATTATGTGGACACACAGTCATGCCCTGGTGTGTTCTCACGTTTGCTGTCAAGGTGTATAAGATCATATACAGAAAGAGGAGCCTCAGGCCGATGCAGGTGACTTGGGTGGGAGATAAGTCGACGTGTAACGCCTCCATCACCATCAGCAACATCCAGACCCACGACGCTGGACGATATCGCTGTGAGGTCACGATGTATCGACACGACAAGCCAAGCATGCAAGACATCGGGTATCTGCAGCTGAACGTTCACAATGAACCAGGTTTGCATGATGTCATCCCTTGATCTATTTAACACCCACCGCTTTATAATTCTCTCTAAGCGAGAATGCAAATTCTCGTTATTGTACAGATTTAACACTAAAATTAACTATGTGGCACAGCCATAAATGGTATTTGTTATTCCTCACAGATATCACATCCTGTAGTTTAAGAAACTCAACTCTTTGTTGAGTTGTCTACATGAGCCAATGACAGCTTGACTCCCTGTCTTTGTCTGTGTCCCATGAGATTGTTGTCCACTTGTGGGACGTGGAATGCTTCGATGTCGGAAAAAAAGCTTTTTAGCTCAAGGGGCTCTACTCAGGAAATACGTTTCTGATTCGGATTCACTTCAAGTGCCGATGCTGGAGCTGCAAGGCGATTTACGGCGTCAACAGGAAACCGGCACAGCGATGATTGACGTCTCCTGCTGGCTGTCCATGACTCCGTTTGGCGTTATTGCCTACTGCCGACATTGACACCTAATGAACACGATGCTCAGCAAACCGTGCATTGAGGGTGAACACCTCGCCGGTGAACACAGCCGCAGGATAATCATGAACAATGGCCTCCCTCTAGGCTGGGTTATTATAGCACCGTCACTATTTAACATTCACAGACAGGCCTCGCCGGACGCTGGGGGTTACGTTCCTAGAAAATGACGTGTTAGGCAGAACCGCGTTCGACAGATAATTATTGACATTGTGGGAAAACTGGGGTTGTCTTCCTTGGCCCGAAATGATCACCCCTCCCTCTCTGTTACTAATTCTACAAGATTTCTGCGCTTGTATTTGTACTAAAGGATGCTAAGTCACTCTCCATTTCTTGCGTGTGTACACTCCTTAACATGAAACCCCCGTCTCATTCCCGCATCGCAAAACTTGCATCCAATGCTCTCCCCTGACAATGATTTCCCAGCTCGACGCTCGCCCCTGACTGTCGCCGATTCGCCATCTAGGCGGCCATCTAAAGTTCTCAAAGACAGGGCGGCGAGATGCTTGCGGCACTGTGAACATTCCCATTGCATCGCTGAGCATGTCGAGTGTGTTACTTTGTCACACAAAAGACTCTCAAAAACACGCACAAACTAAAAGATGCGTGGTAATTAAATGGTTCTTACAGTAGATTAATTCATACCTTGCAATGGATGCAGCAGTCTGACGGCACTTCTTCGACAAGGAGATGAGAGTCTTAGCAGCGTCCAGCCGATACATCACCTCCCGTGTTCCGGAAAACAGTCCTCAGTAGGTCTTCCCCCAGTTAGAGCCATAACGCACGTTCGATAAAGCGGCGGATTCGAGTGACTGGGGAGTAGACGCGGAGGTGGCCCAAGGCAGCAACGAGCAGAGCAGGAGGAGCTGCAGGGCAGAGACCGAGAGGAGGGGGACATGGCAGGAAGAGGAAGAAGACGTTGACTGTGTGCATCTCTTGGGTGTTCACGTGTTGCTGTGTCGTCTGTGTTTGTGTTCAATAGAACCGAGAGACGCAACACCCACGCCAACCCCAACCCCAGCTCCAGCTCCTGTAGCTGGCATCGTCCTTGGAGTCATTGCTGCTCTTCTGGTTGTTGTTGCTGGAGTTGTTTTTTACTGCAGGAGGAGGAGACCAAGTCAGCCAAGAGAAGCAGAAGTCCCGTGAGTATCGACCGCACTTGCACCAGAACCTCACAGTGAGTGATAGAACACGGCTCACAATGGCCACGCCAGAGACCCTGAGCCGGCCCTCTCCAAGGGCCTGAGTTTGACTCCAGCTCCCTGCCTGCCCGTGACTCAGAGCTGTGCTCAGTGGAGCCTGCGGGAGCTCCTGGCAGCTGGGACCCCTGAGTTAGACTCCCCGCCGTGGCTGCTGTCAGTGACAGGGGCTCCATATGAGTGGGGGTGGTGATGTGAGACTGCGTCAGTCATAGGAGATGGTGAACTGAATGGTCTCTCACGTGGATAAAAAATATACATAAATCACAAGAGACAATGGTATCAATGGGCTCTCAGGTGGTTAAATAAAAGATGTCTTTCAAATCAGGGTCAGTGATTTCTGTGCTCAGTGGTTCCATGCGGGTGCCAGGCAGGTGTGAGGCGTGGGTTAGACTCCCAGCCGTGCCAGTGACACAGGCTGCATGTGGGCGAGGATGGGGATGTGTGAACAACGCGTGTCCACTTCTCTCTCAACAGGGTTGAAGATACGTTAAAATTAAACCCAAATGGAGAAGATGAAGGAGCAAGATGAGGTGAGAGCGAGAGAGGCATTAAGCAGGAGCCACTCTCGTCTGGGTCATTCTTCCTGCGTGTTTGTGTGAACTGCGCTAAGAACCAGCTTCCTGGGTTCAATTCCCTAACCTCGCTGCGTTTTGTAAACGCCAGCACTGCTGAGACAAAGGCGGCCGGGCGTGGTGCTGGCCACATCACCCTCTCGAGGTGTTACCCGCTAGCAGCACTTGCCTCGACTGACTGGTCAAGGCTACATCATGGGGGACAGTTGTGTTCGTCACGCAAGTTTGTCATGGCACGGGAAGTGACTTTGATTCATGAGTCGGGTGCTTGAGGCTGGAATGAAGCCCCCCCCCCCCTGTTACGATGCATCCGGGGGCACGTGCAGGACGCTAGGAATCGCGTGGCCAGGATAGGGTAGACAACTTGGAGGCAGTGCTGGATGAGGCTAGTGTGGGGCCTGTAGCATATGATGTGAGAAGGGGCCCTACATTTTTCGTAAAAAAACACGTAAATATTCAAACATACATTTTTCACTTGCACAGTAAAGTCATTGTATTTTTTCAGTTGCTATACAGCCAGATAATACGACAAATCGCTAACCTTAAACACCCAGTCGTTAATAAACGTTGAAGGTGGTATAGTACTATAGTAATAGAGCAAGTGCAAAATCACTGAACCGGAATTGATAGCTTGAAAGCATTTAGCGTGGGGCCCTTGAAAGTGCGGGGCCCGTAGCATTTGGTACTTTTGCTACTACAATAATAAGACACTGATAAGTAGCATGTGCTACAATTTGCTACTAGGACAATCTGGCACTGCTTGGAGGTTGGGAATGCTTGAAGGGTGCTCCAGACTGTCTGGGAAGAGGAGAGTGCTCAACAAGTTGCTTAATTTCGGGCTTGCAGTTCGAGTCAATAATACTTTTTTATGTTTTGGTGAATGATCAATGTTTCTGTTATGATGTTTTAAAGAAACAACATTGCAAGTATATTATTGGGTCTTTCGGTAAAGTCACGTAGAAAGGTTCAAAGAAAACAATTAATATTACACTGGTCAACACCCTTTTTCTGGTATAAGGTGTTCCAACGGTTTAACGGTAATTTTGGGGTGCTGATTCCAAATCTGTCATTAGTTTTGGTCTATCACATCAGGTTTTTTAGATATAAAATATTGCATTTTCAATAAAAACTGCAGAAGAAAAACATTAAATAAATGTGGATATCTACATAAAATTATATTATAAACACAATATCCTAAAAATACAGCACCATGTTTAAACACTAAAGCAGTCACTGACTCGCAACAACTTGCAATCATAAGTGACAGAGTTAATTTCGGGTGAAATCAATAAAAATGATGTGATAGAGCAAATCTGAGATCAGATTTGGAATCGGCACCCTGAAATTAGTCTAAAACAGCTGCAAAAGTCCAGGCCAGAAAAAAATGTTTTTTTTTTGTTGATCAGTGTTATATTTGAAATAATATTTTCTTTGAACCTGTCTACGTGACTTTTTCGAAAGACCCAAAGAATATGAATGACTGCTGTCACAAAAGATTTATGTCAAGATTTAACATTCCAAGTAGTAAATAGGCTTGGTTTGGTCTTCATAGAACTTACTTTGTTTAAAAAAATGATTGACTGGGGAATCCCACCCCAGAATTAGTGCGATATTTCAGTGGCACACTGGGCGCGTGTGTGTGTGCTGAGTGGACTTGCCGATGAACGGTACCAGCGGTGCCAAGATCGGCCTCTGCGCATGAGGTTTGTGAAGGACGCTGCTGAGCAGCTGGAGGCAGTCGCCCTCCAACAACAACGGAGGGCAGAGGAGGCGGCTAAAGCACAGAAAGTTGTCACAGTAGGGGGCACAGGTGGCGCATCTGCCAGCCATCTCGGTCAACCCACGAGACCTGGGTCTGTTCCGTGACCTCCTGCCAGCGAACCTTTGACAAATCACGGAACCTCAAAGTGCACCTAGCATGGCACAAGCGCGGTTGTGACGTCACTGCCTTGTTGTGAACGGCTGTTGTTGTTGTACATGTACCTGCATTCGTTATCTATGCAAGTGTTGCACAATCCTACACTGCTCACTTAGCCTCATCAGGCACTCATCGCTTACCTCTCTTTATTAAACAGGTCAAGTTGCACCGGCAGAGCAAGGAGATGAGGCAAATGATGAAGAAGGAGAACGTGAGACCTCAATCTAACGAAGCCAGAAGTCCAGCCAATCAGTCCCAAGCAACCTTAACTAACACAACCAATCGAGTCAACGATCAAGACGCCAGCAATGTAGCGATGTGAAGTTGAACCGCAATGCCTCATTAGGTTAATGTAAAGCTACCAAAGTCCTGGTTTGGTCTGGACCGTCTGAAAATGTTGATGTAGAACGCGAGACTTCAACTGTGTGGGCGTGGCTATAGAAATGTGGGCGTTGCTGGTGGTGGAGGGAGGGGCAACCATCTGACCACGTGTCACGGTTGAGCCTCCCAGACACGTGGTAGCTTTACGTTCATTTTGCAACGTGCACTGTCGTGCTGCCTCACAAATGACTGGCATAGAGACCCCGGATGTTTACACAGAGACCCATAGATTCACATAGAGAACTATAGATTCACATAGAGATAATATATTAACAGAGACCCAAAAGCTCACATAAAGACCCACTAATGGACACAGAGACACATAAATTCACACAGAGACCCAACCACTCACACAGAAAGCAAATGGCTAATATAGTGACCCATTCATGAAAATATAGACCAGTACACTTTATAGAAACCCATAGACTTAGATAGACACATGGTTGTGATTAAACTGGGCTCTCAAATGCGGTGAGTTTGATGGTCTCAGCCCGGTCACCAATGGACTGCACAAAACAAAACCCATCACGTAAATTTGTCCCATCGTACCTCATTTGTTCGATAATGTAAACGTCTGCTTGGCTGCCGTGCGACAACGCCTCAAGGTGAGTCGTGTGAGGCATTGCGAGCCCAGATGTGTGGAGGGTATGAAGGGAACGAAGGATTCTTGTGACAAGTCGGGTCCAGTCCCATTCACAGCCATTTGTTTCACACACCGGGGTCGCACCGCTCTGCAACATTTACAAGTGGATTCCTTGTGCCATGATATGACGCTGAAAGGTGAATTATATTCTGTGAAAAAGTATTTTTACATTCGAGTACAGCAAACTCTTCGCTCTAGCGGGTTTAGCTATCGCGGTTTTGCAGTTTCGTGCCAAGGCTATTGAGGTGCAGAGTTCGCCGATCGCGCCCCTGTGACTGGACCATTCGCGGTTGATCACGATATTTCTGTACGCGTCGTAACTATACTGCTCGTGATGATGCCGCTACTGCCGCGGAAGAACACACGGGGTGCCGTCTTACCTCCGTCTTATCTCCATCTTATCTCCGTCTTGTCTCCATCTTGTCTCCCGTCTCTTCTCAAGCGGCCCATTGCGGGTGCCGGGTCACGCGGTGTTTCCAGCCTCGAGTGAGGAGGCAGTGATGTTCAGCCGCCCGCGATTTTTCTTTCTATCGTGCGATAGGAACCGTGAACCAAACCCCATTTTTCCCATTTACCCACATGTCTCCGTCCATGTTTTTCAGCAAAACCCAACAACGTAGATTCCAAAGCCACAACAACGATGCTGAGTTGTTTTGGGGTTAATGGCCAGAATCTTGACATAGATCCCAGAAACAAACACGGGTCATTGCGATGGTAACAATGACTGTTCTGCCTCACAGCAGGTGTCTTGCCTCACGGCAGATGTGGGGCGTATGTACACAGGAATTTCCTCTTTTTGATGCTAAGTTTGGTCACGTGACTAGGAAGTTGCGATTTAAGATTCCCGCTCAACCACGCGGGCGTCGGCCATTACACATATAATTCAAGATGGCGGCACACATCGCGTCCCAGTGAAGCCAGCTGCAATTGTCCATTGTGGGACTTTAAGTAGCATTGTCTGTAAGTTCGTTTATGTTCTTATAATATTTGCAATGCTGTTATATTGTTATAATGACCGTTATGATGCTGTAAATGCCTTTATAATGCTGTTAAATTATCATAAATACGAGGCCTAGTTAACAACGAAGCCTGCAACTTGCCTTGTTATGACTGTTACCTGTAATCGAATAAGTCGAGTCAAACTTGTACCCAGGTAACTATATTGCGATCTTGAGAGCAAGGATGACAAAATGTCTCATCCACAGTGAAGTGTTATATGTGTAGTAGAGTTCACGACTCTTGGACGCCGGAGTTGGAGGCACACGGGTTTATTTCACACAGCACGGTTGTGGCATACAACACTAGAGGGGGTATCGGCCCCCTCACCCGGCTAGCTGGGGATACACGCGCTAGCTACTCCTAGCCTGCCTCCTAGTCCTCCACTAACGGGCTAGGGGAGGCTATCTGGCCCGACACTGGTAAGTCGGGCCCGGTACCCTGAGTCCCAGACCAGCTCTGACAAGAGCACCGGCTCTGGATCTCGGGACCACGCCGCTGGCTCGGTCCTGTTCGGCCCTGATAAGGACGGCGAACCAGGGGAGTCCAGGGCTCTAGCTAAGACGTCTTCAGTCTTCACTGGTTAGCTTAACATTCTCCTCGAGCCCTCCGACACATCCCCTTTTATACCCACCCCCCCCCTTGAGGGGTGGGGCCCCGGGGGATCATAACTCCGAATCAGCCTCCCCAGGGTGCCTGGCGCGGACGTCGTAGAGAGCATCTCCCCGTGCACTCACGTAGCCCCGCCCACTGTGTTTGTTTGCCATAAGCTGCCATGCATAACGGGCTCTCTCTCTAACACCCCTACATATGTAGTGCGGTACATTTGGGGTGCATTGTGATGAATACACGATGTGCCTTTACGTAACACAGTAGCTTATGCTCTTGTATAGCTATCAGTGGTAATGTAGATGCCTGGTCCATCCAGGATCTATTGTTGAGAAACATGTTATCTAAGACAATGTTATGATGCTGTGGTGTTCATTCATTGTGTTGGTGTTTCTGGGTATTAACAGATGCTGTATCTGTGCTGTTTACTTACCAGTATTGCCTCGTTAAATTCAATAAATTACGTTTGGAGTGGGACGTTCATCCTGGCTCTGAGGGTTTATTGGACGCGAGGTTAACTACTCAGCTAGCGGTGCAACGCAGCGCACAGCGAGGCCGACACAACGACTGACCTCTATTGGCAGGAAATACAGGCACACCACTTATAGCAACTGTTTACCAAGAACGCATTTTGAGCGCTATACAAGGTATGCCTGTGTAGGGGATGTCCAAGCCATCCTCACACACTCGCACCGCACAGACACACAATCTCCGCACTCAACATAGCACACACCAATCACGCGCACGGGAATACACTAGACGGGGGTCAAGGGATTAAAGGGCACTGACGTCACACGCACACGGCACGCGAGACAGAGATGTGGATTAGGAAGCAGGGTGGAGATGGAGGGTTTAAAAGGGGCTGTGAAATGCGTGTTCGGGGTTGCTTTTGAGGAGCGAGTGTGGCTCTTGTTTGAAGAATAAAGAAGTGTTTACACCATTGGAACCTCATTTGCCAGTAAAAAATATGATAATTGGTTTTTTACCCTTTTATCTGGTAACAAAACTGACACCTTTTTTATTTACAAGGAGTCATGTTTGCACTGTCCTTGAAGTTGATTGGTCCAAATCTTGTAACTCAAAAAGCTGTCTCGGGTGTGGACCAATCAACTTCAAGGACAGTGCATACATTATCAGAGTTGTGTTTTTTGTTTGCATTACGACTGCAGGTATTGTGGTCTTTGCAAACATGACTCCTTGTAAAAAAGGTGTCACTTTTGTTGCCAGATAGAAGGGTAAAAAAACAATTATCAATAAAGAAGTGCTTAACCAGTCTCCGACTTCTCTTCATCTGGTGGCAGCGGTGGGATGTCTCGCCTCAGCCGACGCAAGATCCCAAGGGGGGAGACTCAGCTAGAAGATGCTCTAGGGGCCCGGGACGAGAATTGCTCGGAACCAGAACTGACGAGTCGGGATTCATCCCCCGGCTCATCGGCGGGATCCGAGGCAGCTGCTTGTCCCGTGTGGGCACCTTCCTCCACCAACCCGGCAGTGCAGACCCAGCGCCGCCGCCGCTGCAGATCGTCCTCTAGGGATCGGAGGAAGAATCAGCTGCTGGAGGCAGTAACCATGCTGCTTCGCCGGCTAAGTCCTGAGGTCGAACGAGCGGGGGGAACTTCAGCCTCATCACCTCCCCAGCAAGGGGACTAGAGCCATGGTCAGCCTTCCAGACCCGGCACTCCGCAGCAGCTATCAGAGGATGGAGCAGCACCAGCGATGCCGCCGACCGTGAGCCCCGCGAGAAAACCCTGGCCTGTCTTCCTGATATCCGCCGACAGCAGCAGCAACCGGGGTACATGAACGACCGGAGCGCAGCGGAGACCAGCCGACCTGGCAAGTGGCAACGGCACAGGGTGGGAGCGAGATTGAGCCCGAAACTCGGCCCAAAACTTCCACGAGTTCAGGCGCTGGTCGGGACTACGGTCTCGATCCCGCCTGGTCAGAGGTCGCAATCGGGTACCCGATACCCGTACCCGGCTGGGTACGGGTAGCCGTTTGCGACCCTGGTGCGGTCGGGTACGAGTAGGCCGTGAGTCACCGGTGAGTAACCGTTTGTCACTCATTTCGGGTAGGGTACGGGTAGGGAACGGGTACCCATTTACGACCCTGGTGCGGCCGGGTACGGGTAAGGAATCAAAACCCATTTGCGACCTCTGCGCCTGGTGCGCAGGCCGTGGTGTCGCTTCGATATCGCACCCCGCTCGTCACTTCCCGGTCGGATTCGCCGCTCATCGTCTCTACGGTGCCATCGGTGGCTGGTGCTATTGCTTAGCAGCATCTGACACACGCGTGCGCAGGAATCAGCCACTGTTCCTGGAGGTCCTTAACACGGCTGACACACCCATTACAGTTCAAGACGGGACCTTGTTTGCAAATGTCAGTCCCATGCATTCGGATCCTGAGGCGCAGACCATCAACAATGTGCATTTGGATGGTCTGTCAGTCAGCGCAGAACACCGATCTATCAGCAAAGGAATCGGGGAAGATCAGGACTTTTTGTGTGATACTTAATTTGGAGCTTTCGTGACTGCAGGAATTACTCTTTGGTTATTTCGGTAAAGTCACGTATAAAGAGAAAATAATAAATTAAATAATAGCATACGACGTTTCGATTGCAACACAAGCAATCATCATCATCAGGTATAAATGAAATAGAAACACAAATCTAGTATACTTAGAAATGTAATGTAATACAACAGTCGGATAACATAACAGTCAACACCCTACCTGGTTGATTACGTTCTTCCTGAGAATGCTAAATTTGAGAGATAAAACACAGAACCAGAGACATATAGACAGACATAAGTGGAGACAGATATCACATAGATGCCCTTATAAAACTCAACATTTAACCTACTCACACCGGCTTGTGCCCGCCCTCACAGTCGGGCATATTTGCGGAATACACCACGCCGCCGTTGACCCTGGCCATTGACCGAGCAACCCAACGTTCCTACCAGCTCCCTCCGCAGGAATGTGTTTCTGAGAGCCAGACCTTCAAAGCAACATTTTTTAAGCAAGGTGTGAGCTGGTGAACATGCAATAGTATTATGAACATAGATGGCAATTCCACCTCCTTTAGACCCTCGGTCAAGCCGAAAAAGGGTGTAGTAGTCAATCGTAATCTACAAGTCATTTACGGCAGGAGTGAGAAATGTTTCTGTTAGGCAAAAAATGTCCGGGTCCAGATTTGCCACTTCTAGTTTTAGTTGACTTAATTTCATCACAAGCCCTCTGATGTTGACATGTAGAACACCAACACTTTTTTTTCCAGAAAAATCTACAGAATTATACAAGTTATTTACATTTGGACCAGGATGAAGCTCAATACCACCCAGAAATAAGAAAAGTAGAATTAATAGTTTGCACAGGTATTTTATGTGAAAGGATGAAGAGCGGTGAACCTTGGACGAATAGCAGCAGCTTGCAGATGGTGATATTTTTAAGAGCAGAATAAAGTTTGGAAGGAGTGCTGGTGAAGTAATGGGACAAAGATAGGGTTTAAAAGGATACAATGATAGAGTGTAGAAGTGTCTATAAGCTGTTTCATTAGCAGGTGTAGTCGCAAATTGAACAACAAGTATGGACGCGAAGTAACGAGGGTAGCCATTTGTAGAGTTGAGCAGAGGTCGCAAACGGGTTTTGATTCCTTACCCGTACCCGGCCGCACCAGGGTCGCAAATGGGTACCCGTACCCGGCCGGGTACGGGTACCCGTTCCCTACCCGAAATGAGTGACAAACGGTTACTCACCAGTGACTCCACCAGTGACTCACGGCCTAACCGTACCCAGCCGCACCAGGGTCGCAAACAGCTACCCGTACCCGGCCGGATACGGGTAGCCGGGTATCGAGTAGGGTACGGGTATCGGGTACCCGGTTGCGACCTCTGGCTCATATCCTCGAGCTTGGAGGACAGCGAGCGGAGCGTGGTCTGCAGTTCCCTCTTTGTCGGCCTGTGTGCCTGATTTCTCATCGCCCGAGTCATGTTGTAGTGGGTTCTCAGCGAGACAGACGACGTAGTCGAGGCACAAGGACCAGTAACACAACACTTGAAGGGGTAACGGCCCCTTCACCCGTACTCAACAGGAATACACCCCTAGCACTATCCCCGACTGATCTACTCCCAGTCCTCCTCTAAGAGTGCTAGGGGAGGCTATCTGATCCGGCCCTATAACCACAACACAAGCATTGCAAACATGATGCCTTGTATAAAGGTGTCAGTTTTTGTACCAGTTGAAAGGGTAAAAACCTACGAAGTTTCGATCGCAACACAAGCGATCGAAACTTCGTATTTTTAGTTTATTTTCTTTGAACCTATCTACGTGACTTTACCGAAAGACCCAAACAATATAGTTAACATCTGTGACGTTGTTGGTGCTGTACCCCAAACACCCCTTGGACTAGAGAACCCCAGTCATCTCGCTTCCTTCTGTGAGTCATAGTCGCCGTTCTCTGGACAACCTCAGCTGGCCTCGTCGTCTAACACGGTGAGGGAGAGGGGGGTGAAGCACCCATTGGGCTGTCAGAGTGTGACGCGGCAGGTCGCACTACCCACTGCATTGACACACACGTAGTGATAGCCACTCACACACACTCAGAGGTGCCACTCAACGCGTGCATCGAATCATCGTTCACCCCACGGAGCTGTGACTGGGCTAACAACGGTGAGGATTTAACTCTGTGTGAGTGTGTGAGTGTGTAAGTGTGTGTAAGTGTGTGTAAGTGTGAGTGTGTAAGTGTGTGAGTGTGTAAGTGCGTGAGTGTGTGTAAGTGTGCAAGTGTGAGTGTGTGAGTTTGTAACTGTGTGTGTGTAATTGTGTGTGCGTGAGTGTGTAAGTGTGTGTAAGTCTGTAAGTGTGTGAGTGTGTGTAAGTGTGTGAGTGTGTAAGTGTGTGTAAGTCTGTAAGTGTGTGAGTGTGTGTAAGTGTGTGAGTGTGTAAGTGTGTGAGAGTGTAAGTGTGTAATTGTGTGTGTGAGTGTGCGAGTGTGTAAGTATGCAAGTGTGAGTGTGTGAGTGTGTAAGTGTGCGAGTGTGTGAGTGCACCTAGCCTGGCACTGGCGCCGTGGTGACGTCACAGTCACTTAGTGGCGAATGGCGGGTATTGGTGTGGATGTTGGACTTCTTTCACACCGTACGTAGCCAACCGCGGCTAAGCGGGTGAAGGACAATAATCTAAGCACAACAACAACAACACTCAATTCTAAATAAATAAGTGTTCAATGGAGATTATTTAAAAGTGGCTTCCCAATATCGCATGGAAGAGCGTTCCAGACAGCCGCAGAAGCGCATCTGAAAGCGTGCGAGGCAGTGTTTGTGTGTAAGTCGACTCAGCCTCAAATGTTGTAAACATCGCCACTGGGGAGACAAAGGCGGCCGGGTGTGGTGCTGGCCACCCACTTCCTCGTGTGCCAAAGTGCAGGTCGGAGTAGACTCCACAGGCCAACAGCACTTGCCCCCACAGTCTGTTAGGAGAAGTTATACTGGGATCGTTCTTTTGGTATTTCACGCGCATACCTCTAAGGTGAGTGGGGAAACACCGCCATGTTGGTGAGAGGTATGCGTGCAATGCTGCCGTGGCCTTCAGCAGTTGAGGGACCGGTTGGACTGCGCTTTGTGGTTACCGGTCTAACCGGAAGATTTCATCCCAATTTAATTAACTCACTCCGAGATTCAGACCCCATTCAAAGTCATTGTCCCTTGAGATTGACGTCCTTTATTTAACCACCAGCTGATTGAAAGCTCCTATTGAGATTCACTGTCTCGTGTTGATGAGTCTTGCCGCATGGTGAAGTGGGGAGATGTGACCCTGCCAAACGATGAATTAATTAGTAAATTGTTTGTGACTTGTTAATTTTACAGAATTCCTGTCCTCCATTCGTAAAGGAATGGCCCAGACTTCTCCACTCGGAACAATGAAAGCAACAACAATATTCATACTATTATTAATTGGTAAGTAGCATCACCACCACAACCACTATGTGTAGCCTGTAACAGGCTGTTGGGGCAAGCGCTGAGCGAGGCTGAGGGTGGGGGCACGTGGGGGGCACAACTGCCCCATCACCGATTGGGAGTTGTGTGGGTGGGTTGCCCGATGGTACAAAATACCCAGGCAGGTGCTTAGTTTTGGTGGGGCTGATGTTAAGGCCCCTCCTCTTCGTGGCAAACTCCAGTCTCAGCAGCAGCGCCTCCAACTCCTCCTCTGAGTGAGCAGCCAATTACCAGATCATCGGCATACATAACGTGGTTGATCAATAGAGAGCCATCCCTTGATGCACCCGGGCCTCCCATTGTATCTGTACCAGATGGAAATTCCTACGGTACAGCCATCAAAGGCTTAACGGACTACGTGGTTGAAAAAGATGTTAAATAATGTGGGAGCCAGAGGACATCCCTGTCGCACCCCAAAGTGAACAGGGAATGGCTCCGACTCCCGGCCACGTAGTTTTACCCGGGCCCGCTCACCATCATGAAGGTCCTTAATGATCGTGAGCAGAGGGTCAGGGACTCTGAAAGTACGAAGAACGACCCAGAGCCCAGGCCTACTGATGGAATCACAGGCCTTGACCAGGTCAATAAAGCAGAGATGTAGGTCTTGCTGGAATTCCCTACACCTCTGCTGTAGCAAACGGACAGAAAATATGGCATCTGTGCAGGACCGCCCTTTCCTGAAACCACATTATGGCTCCACAAGCCTCTCCTCAGCGTGCCTGGCAAGGCGATGTTGATTAATCCTTGCCAGGACCTTTCCCGGACCTTTCCCGGCACACTGAGGAGTGAGATGCCCCTGTAGTTGTTACAGTCTATGCGGTCCCCATTCTTAAAGAAGGGGACCACCAGGTCATCCTTCCAATACTGCGGAACCCATCCAGTGGTCCAGACTGTTGTTATGATGTCATGTAGGGCAGCCTGTGCACAAACGCCACCCTCCCTCAGCATTTCGCTTGGGAGATCATCTCTGCCCGGTGACTTTCCTGGTCTCAGACTCCGGATCGCCTTCAGTACTTCCTCAACAGATGGCACCTCAGCGAGCCACTCAGAGGGGGTGACTTCTTCCAATATTTGAGGCACCGCAGCCTCAGCAGGATTATCCCCACTTTGTGCCATGATGTTTTCCTGGCTGAGGAATTTCCCCTCCCCCAGGACCTCACAGAAATGATCAGCAAATCTGCAAACTGTTCCTGAGGGTCGGAGATTGGATCACCGTTTTTTCCCCTAATGATGGTAATAGGTGTGGCGCTGCAGGTTACATTTTTGATGGAGTTAATTAGTGATTTGTGATCGCGGGCCACTGAGGCAGACTCCATCTCCTCAGCAACCCGCGACCACCACCCATCCTTGCAGCGCCTTACGGCTCTCCAAACCTCGGAGCGAAGGCTGCGGTAAACCTCCTCATTCTCTGACGTGGGATGCTGGAGCCGATGAGAGTGGGCCTGTCGCTTTTTCTCAACTATCCTGAACACCTCCTCTGTCAGCCAGGGTCTCTGGGGAGGTCTGGACCACGTACCCAAAGCAGCCATTGCAGCTGCATGAGTCACAGCCGTAAACCTCGCCCATTTACCCTCGACATCAGGAGGAGTGGGGGACGATGCCAACCCCAGCTGCAAGTGATGATGAAATTCTAGGCTTGCAAATTTCATCAGCTGAGACCAGGCCACTTTAGGTTGGAATGGGGTCCTGGGTGTACACCCACCACCAGAGTGGAAGAATGGCAGGCGCATCTTACAGATGACTAGTCGATGGTCAGAGGGCAGATCAGCTCCACGGTAGGTCCTGGTGTCAAGGACATGGGCTCGCATCCACTGGTCCGTCAATATGTAGTCCAGCAGATGTTCTTGCTTGGACCCGGCATGCATCCATGATGTTGTGTGGATGCGCCGATGCCGGAGGAGCGTGTTGGTAATTACAAGCCCATGGGCTGCACAAAAATCTAGCAGCCTCCTACCGTTATTATTGAGCTGATCTGGCTCATGCCTTCCAATCACTCCAGACCAGGTGCCAGCATCATGACCAACTCGGGCATTGAAGTCACCCAACAAGATGACTCTGTCCCGAGTGGCCACTTTAGCCAGCACCTGTGACAGGAGGTCATAGAGGGCATCTGACTCATCGGCTGTGCCTGCATCCCTCCACGGATGTTCGTCTTCGTTGGGGGCATAAGTCACCACGACCACCACTCCTCGCCTCTGGTTGACGGGAAGGCGAGCCCAAAGTAGCCTGGGGCTTACAGCTTCCCACACCTCACCGCCACGCTCCCACGCCCCCTTCATTCTTTTGTTCAGAAGAAGAGCCACACCCTGTTGTTTGGCAGTCTCCTGCAGGAGCCAGAACCGGTCCACCGGACCTCCTGAATGCCACAGAGATCCAGGTGGTACCGGTCCAGCTCCCGACAAAGGAGTGGCAGCTTCTCCGCAGTGAGCGTTCGAACATTCCACGTGGCCATCCGTAGTGGCTTTTCGTTGTTTCTGGAGGAGCCCCGAGGGTGAAGATTTAATCTCCTGGCTCTGCCAATTGGGGTTTGGCCAGGAGATGTCATAGACGCCTGTCCCCCCGGGGCCTCTGGCACAAGCTTATTAGTTACATATTTATGTTTAAGTCGTGGTTTCGTGGTAATGAATTGAAGGTGGAGGGGTTACCAGCCCCTTGCACCCGTTCAGAGCCCCCGTTTAGCCACTGTGGTGGTCACAGACACCATGAGGGGAGAGGCCAATGGGCATTGGCCCTCCCCCCACAGCACTGTCCACGACAGAGTTGCCCGTCCGGCACCGCGAGAAGGTAGGGGGTTGTTTTGCCAGACACACGTACACACACACACTATTCAGAGGCGCGTCATTCATAAAACTCAGGTGGTTGGATGCTTCTGGGGTCAGATCGCTGACGCAGCAACCGCAGAGTTCCTGGAATTCCATTCCAGATGTGAGCCCTGTAAGGGGTTGGGTGTGAGCCTGGAGCCCGTGATTGACACAGATACCCATAGACATACACAGAGACCCATAGACACACAGAGACCCATAGACATACATATAGACCCTTAGACACACACACAGAGACCCGTAGACACACATAGACCCATAGACACACACACAGAGACCCAGAGACACACACGTAGACCCATAGACACACACAGAGACCCATAGACACACACGTAGACCCATAGACACACACAGATACCCATAGACACACAGAGACCCATAGACACACACGTAGACCCATAGACACACACGTAGACCCATAGACACACACAGAGACCCATAGACACACACAGATACCCATAGACACACAGAGACCCGTGGCACAAGAGGGTGCGGGCTGGTGGTAGGTGGCCAGCACCACCACCACGCCCGCCCGGCCGCCTTTGTCTCTCTTGCACTCGCATTGCACTCACACTGTTGTTTTGACTCGAGTGAGTTTGGTTTACCACCGTTTAAACGCCACCTACATTTGTTATCTGTGCCGTGATCGCTAAAGGACCCCTCACTGCACTCGATCTCCGCAGTGACCACGTTGGCCTTTGTCTTTATTGCTGCTGCTGCTGAAGTGATCCACCAGCACTCACGGATCTCCCGTGGACAATAGCCGGGCAACTGGGCTACATCTTATTGTTTAACTCTTGCTACTCCTAAATTTTTATTTAAAGCTTTCGTGACTGCAGGGATTCATATTCTTGGTTCTTTCGGTAAAGTCACGTAGAAGGGAAATAATAATATAATACAAATATAAAACAAAAAAAATTCTCACGACGTTTCGACTGGAACACAAGCAATCATCATCAGGTGTGAAATCCACGGCAAAAAAATTTGAAAAAAGTGGCAGTTTTTCCTAACATCAGCACCACAGACAGCGATTTGGCAGTTGGCCAGATGGACGAGTCCATCTATGTTCGGAAAAGAGGGGGGAGCAGAAAATGGAATGCTATCTGAAAGTCACCGTAAGCGTGAACACAATCAATTAAGGTTCGTTCATGAGGCTATTCACATATACAAACACAGAAACAATTTCAACCGAGAAGATGGACTCTGGCTTAGCAATCATTGGAAGGATTTGATAAACCATTTCGGGTCTTAATTGATTGTGCTCACGCTTACGGTGACTTTCAGACCGCATTCCATTTTCTGCTCCCCCCTCCTCTTTTCCGAACATAGATGGACTGGTCCATCTGGCCAACTGGCAAATCACTGTCTGTGGTGCCACTTTTTTCAAATTTTCTTGGCGTGGATTTCACACCTGATGATTGCTTGTGTTGCAGTCGAAACGTCGTGAGAATTTTTATTGTTTAATATTTGTATTATTTTATTATTTCCCTTCTACGTGACTTTACCGAAAGAACCAAGAATATATATTACTACTCCTGTTCATTACTGTTCACTACTCCTGTTCACTGCTCCTGTTCACTACTCCTGTTTATTGTTACCAGGGTTAAGACCCCACTGAGCTGCTGTGTAGCTCTTTTATCAGAAGCGACCTGACCATCACTAATTATCTAAACATGATGATAAGCCAGTTCGTTGCGCTATTATTTGTGACTAGGGATTGTTCGAGGGCGCTTAAGGCACCCCTCACAACCATTTACGGCCTTCGGCCAGGAAACTCACGAAAAAAATTGCACACTAATGACGCATTCACGCAAGCACCTGATGCTCCTTTTTGGAATTTTAAAATGAATCCTCTTTGAATTGTATTATGTTTTGAAATAGATCATTGTATTTCTTAATTAAAAGCTTTTATCATTTTACATCTGGAAGACTTAATTGAAAACGACATTTCATGTGAATTTTCTCTCGTCGTTAAGTAGATGGCCTTGCTGGGGGTTCGGTTCGATGCGGACTTTCATCTGTTTTGGATCGAGATAAGGGACATAGAGCTGGCCGTGTGAGAAGACCGTCGTCTGCAGATCGATTCCAATGTAATCGAACATTTGTTCGATTGTCTCTTCCTGCGCCTGTCGTTTGCAGCGCCCCCTGCATGAAAACGACGGACAGTGCTGCGTTAATCACAGACAGATAAAGTTGTGCGCTTATATAAGAGTATGTGTGTTTGTCATATTATTTTTCTTTCATAGTGGAAAAAGTCAGCACTGTACATGAGTGCCTTACTTTTTTTAGTGTTCAAATGCACTGCTGGATGAAGGCCCACCGCAGGCTGTGCGCTTGTCGTGGTTGGAGGTGTGACGTCATTACACACGAACGCGGCTGAGGTGTTGTGAAAGAGAGCTGACGTTACAGCCCAAACGTGCGTGATGACGCACGCGTCGGGGACGTCATCCCACACGTGCCTGTTCGGGGGCGTACATGTTTGTGAGGGGCACACCTCTGGTTGGCTGCTTGGTCGTGGTCACGTGACACACTTAAACCAATCCGTGCCGCGTTAGTCACAGAACGACAGACCTGGGTGTTTATATAGTAGGATGGTCAGCTCCCTTCTGAAAATGAGCTATACAGCTCAGTGGGCCTTAACTGGTAACATCAAACATACTTTAGTTTTAGTATGGGTCTCGATGAGTATGGGTCTCTATGGGTTTCTGTGGGTGTCTGTGGATCTCTATGGTTCTATATCAGTCTCCCTATGCATAGCTCTATGTACGATACCTGGAGCAGTGGTGTGGAGTAAACATCGATACTGGGGAGACAAAGGCGGCCGGGCGTGGTGATGTCCACCCACCCCCTCGTGTGCCACAGTGCCGGTAGCCTTCATAGGCGCTGTTACTCTCTACTACTAACAGCACTTGCCCCAACAGTCTGTTGAGGCTACACGGGGGATCTTTGTCTCTGTGTAGAAGTGAGTCACCAAATGTGCGCGATCTGCGAGTCTACCTCTTTGGTTTGGTGCAACACTTCGTCGTGGTAGAAGGCTTTCGCGACCAACATTATCCAAAGTGGAGGTTTGTGTTGGCTTAGATCGCGTAAATATCAATGTTGTGTCATCGTCACACCCGCCACTAACAACCGACACAGCCAATCGGTCATGCTTGTCACGTCAACACAACGTGCCAATTCGTTACTAGTTCAACTGGCGTGTTGGAGAGTAAGCCCACTACAACATTTACAATTATAGTGTAGTGTATAGCAGTGTAGTGTATAGTAGTGTAGTGTGTAGTGTATTATACTAGTACAGCTATCATTGGTTGTTGTGTGTTGGCTAGTAAGCGCACTACAACATTTACAATCCGAGTACCGTGACGTATCGCCGGTAATTACAACAAGGAGCATCATCAGGCGACTCTGCAGTTTTCATTCCACACACCCCACACACCCCGCATACCGTCAATACCGGTGGCACAATGCAACCAGGAACTTGTCCGGTCTGTGCAGATTAGCAGGGCTGGTGAGTTCAGCACCGATCACGCTTGACAGCTTGTCACGGGGCATCTGCGGGTCTCTGTGTAGCCAGCAACAAGGTCGTTTGTTGTCGTCCCCCCGCACCTCTGCTTAGCACAGTTGACTACATACGGTGCGAAAGAAGTTCAACATACGTACATAGATACAGCAAAGAGCAGGGCAATGCAAGGCATTGCTGTGCGCCGGCTATGATGCTTGCCACAAATGATAGCTCAACAAGTGGCTGATCATCATCACGTGGAAATGTAAAGCAGCCAAATACTCTAAGCGCGTGATGTTGATTCTAAATGTGGAGGGAAAAACCGGATGACCCGGAGTCAAATCCACGAGACCACGTAGAATACACACAAATTCCAAATATACAATAGGCGTCAGGGTTGGGATCGAAACCACGACCTCCTGTATACCAGGCGAGATAGTTAACATCTCCTAGCCACCATGATGTTCGGGCTGGGATCGAACCCACGACCTCCTGTATTCAAGGCGAGGTAGTTAACATCTCCTTGCCACTATGGTGTCCCTAATGTGATCGTCATCAGTGTAACGTTCTTACCCCGTGGCCCTACTGGATCTTCTGTGCAAAAGAGCCTCATAGCTCATCGGTTTCCTCTGGTATAAGTAAATAAATGATGATTCTGAGATTCTGATTTATCCGCAGGAACGGTGGTCGCTAACAGCGTGAAGGTTGAGAATGGCTCGGAGTCCGAAGTTCGGCGCAAAGGAAGAACACCACGTGGTGAGTTCAATACCAGGTCGTGGTCAACTCGAATTCATCATCACCACCATCGCCATCATGACCATAACCACCATCATCGTCACCACCACCAACATCACCATCTTCATCAGTCACCACCAATATCATCACAACCACCATCATCATAACCATCATCATTGTCACCATCACCACAATCATTATCACCACAACCACCATCATCATCACCACCTTCATCATCATCATCACTAGTTAACTATTATCTGGGCAGTGACAATATCTATGGGCCGCCTGGGAAAGCTAATTTAGTGATCTAACAAAAGTAATGCTCAACCAAGAACCGTAGTAGCATTAAATAACCGTTTCATTTTTCGTAAAAGTAACCCTCTCCTCCCGTGACCTTTACGAGAGGACAAGCCGGTTAATAAGTAAAAACAACAATAGTAGATGACGAGTTTCTAGGAGATGAGTGGATACTCTGCGTTGTTCTGCATTCCTTCTGAGAATCAAATGACTCCACCACCAAGGCACAACCAGAGGGTTGTGTGACTGCAACTTTTTATTTCAAAGCGTTCCTCTGAGGCGCATTCGTGCATCTGTAATTATGACCAGATGCACGCCAATCAACCCCAATTAGCACCACCTCACTGCTCAACCCCTGTACTGTCCACCAGAGGTCGCAAACGGGTTTTGATTCCTTACCCGTACCCGGCCGTACCAGAGTCGAAAACGGGTAGCTGGGTATCGGGTACCCGGTTGCGACCTCTGCTGTCCACCCGAATCTCAATAATGATAACGCCTGGTTGTCATACACAATACACATTCAACGTATAACATTTGAAAGATTTAACATTTAACAAAAACTTCTTAACATTGAGCTCCACCAGCTCAGTGTTAAAAAACTATCTTCTAAAAACATCTAGAGTATTTTCTAAATCCTGTATAATCCTGCACAAATAAAATAATACGTTGTTATAATCCAATTATATTCATATAGCATACATTTGGCAAATCATTTTAATTACCATAAATATATTAAGCACCTATTGTTTCTTATATGTGAATCAAAACAATCTCTACCAAAAATATAATTCTGCTCGCTCCATCAGCTCAATGTTAAATTAAAAGCTACAGGATGGCCATTTTGTGTTTCTTTTCCCAACAATATAAATAAATAAAACACTAAATTTTTGCAACTATCAATTCACCTTCTCAATACCACATGTAACAAATGATATTGGACTTATCAAACTAAACAAGTTATTACCACTCGTGTATATAATTAATTAATTGTGACCACGAGGGTGTCGCCGCCATCTTGTTTTTCAACTTTGCCGCGTAAAAAACGGCGAAATAAAAAACTAAAACTCTAAATAAATCAACTTACCATGTCTGTAATTATGACCAGATGCACACCAATCAACTCCAATTCACAACACCTCACTGCTCAACCCCTGTACTGACGGGATTGAGTGCAAGTTGTAATATTCTAAAACCACGCCCGCATCACTTTATTTATTAAATTATTAATATCGTCTCTAATTATCAAACTTTTAACTGTGAATATATTTACTGTCATTAACTTAAACCCTATCTGTTAATATTAAAATAACAATAATACTAATTGTTCTATGTATCTATGTTTAAGCGGAGCTGTAAATCTGTTACCTGTAGTGTGTGCACCCGAATCTGAATAGGTGCCCTGTACCCTGAATTGACGACTCTGCTGGTGGGCGTGGCTTACTGTGCACTCACGTGACTCTATGGGTCCAATCCGTGGTCATTATTACTTCATTCACAATTACACTTGTGGTTCATTACCTTGAAGCCCATACCGGCTACACCAGGGGTCGGGAACCTTTTTGACTGGGAGAGCTATACAAGCCAAATATTTCTAAATATATTTCATTGAGAGCCATATAGTATTTTTAACGTATAATAAATTAAATGTCTTACTTTTAATGCGACTTCTGGTGCCGCGTGGTTTTGCTGATGGCCTTGTAGTCTGGTTCATACGTGGTGAGGTTGAGCTTCATGCAGGCGTGACCCGTGAAATTTATCTTCAAAACTAATTTCTGTTTACTTAAAAATGACACAGTATTATTAAGCAATATCACAAGTATTTTAAAATCAGTTCCAAACTGATTTTTTTATTTTATTTTTTTCAACTCAAAATTGTCTGGGAGCCATATGCCGTCACCGAAAGAGCCATATATGGCTCGCGAGCCATAGGTTCCCGACCGCTGGGCTACACTAACAATCTCTCTCATTAAGCCACTATTGTCACTAACTGTAACTCGTTTCGCCTGACAATGAATGCCAGATTCACGAGTGCATTGCTCTCAGGCCGGTCACCACAGTGAGTGCACAAATCCCTGTCACATCAACGTTGGTGCAGCACCTCAATTCTCGCTCCGAGAATGACGCAAATATCGGCCCGACTTCTATGCAACATTAACTCTCTGTAGCGGAATAGATGGTAACGTACTGCCCTCTGCTGCCTGAGTCGTGACATAGCCAACACGGTGGCGTGTAGCGTGGTACAGTAATATCGTCAAGGCTTGAATATTGCAACTCACTACTTTATGGGATGTCTGGAAAAAAACATTTGCAAACTGCAGCATGGACAAAACTCTCTGGGACGCGTCGTGATGGGTACTGCAAGATGGGGCATTGCAGTGGCGGCTCCTGCAAAATCTCTCAGGGGGGGCAAATGTCTGGATGATTGATAAGGATAAGGTCCACCCATGCAATGGATACATTAACAGCTTAAGCATGTAAAGGCAACTTCACTTCTTTAATATTAATGAAAAATAAAGTGACTCTTACAATACATCTCCTTGTTTGTTTCTATACTCACTATTAATAGAATCCACTCAAGTTTATTTTATTAAAGATTCCACTAGGTGGCAACAAATTATATTGTTGGATGAAACGTGCTTACGTATGATGACGTAAGCACGTTAGGGCGAGCCCTCCCGGAAGTCATAGAGAATGTATTGGAGCGCCCGCCGTTCGAAAAAAAACATCTTTGAATGTAAGTCTATGGGGCCACTCGGGGCGATTCTCAGCCGGAGTGAAATCGCCCAAAAAGAGGCGGTACTCCACAGAACGTGACATGACGCTGATTGGACTATATCCAGAGGCTGACAGTGACGGCTAGCGTGACTCTGTGGTTGAATGACATTGGTGGTGCGTCGCCCAATCGCCCTAATGAAGAAACTGCCCCTGGGGAATTGGCTTCCGGTTTGCCGAACTCGTACATTATAGGGTCGCACTTATTACAGAAAAAGTTCTTGCCACAAATGAACCACAGTACCTTGCTGAGATCGTCAAGGAATAAACCATCATTTGTTTAAAACTGCTTTCTTGTGTTTAGTTTGTTGTTTCCTCACACCTCCGATTAGTATGGTTGGCTACGTATGGTGCGAAAGAAGTTCCACATACACATGGACCAGAGGTCACTTCATGGGATGTCAGAGGTAGTTGTGTGATATCTACTTCTGTGGGCCATACTCTTAACACAAAGGTTGCGCTGCACTTTGAGGGAAGCAATAGAATCTGCATCTCATGACATGTTGCCACTATAACGATTACAAATATCTGGGTTCAACTCTTGGCTATAAATCTCATCAACACCGATGTCCAATTGCCATCAGAACGTGATATAGCTGCTCACCCCGAGCTACAAACGCTCTGATACGTGCATTGTCTTTGTACTGATCACCTTTTGGCATTCGCTGGTCTGATACTGGTCAGACTAGGCCATAAAGAAGTATGTCCTATGGAGTAGAACAATCAGTTTCAAAGACAATTAACATCTTATTAGAGCCACGTCTGTTTGCATGTTCACCACAAGAACTGTGCATGGACAATGCGACACTTAATGTCTTGAAAAGGGTTTCTATTTGGCGTTTCAACATCTTAACACACCTCCTGTTTTATTGGCAGAAAGGGGTAAAACCTATTCTCTTTTTCATACGGGATGTACTAATGTGGGTGCTCTGTGTTGTTGTTTCCCTAGAATTTATGGTCGTCACCCCAGAGAAAGTGAACGCCGTAGCAGGCAGCAAGATTCTTCTGCCCTGCTCCTACACCTGTACAATCAGCGGTGTTACCCACACGCTGGTGGAGTGGTTCAGGAGGGATGGACGTGAAGAAGAGAGGGTGAGTTACAAATCTCTCTATCTTAGCAAGACATCTAAATGCAGGAAAACCTTGCCTAATGCGGCTTTCTCAAATGCGTCTTTGGCTCTACGCGGTTTGTCGGAACACGGGGGGGGGGGGGGGGGGTGCTCATTGGGTTAGATCGTTTGTCTGTCTATTTGTCCGTCAACAAAACTATAAGAGCCTTTCAGAAGTCCTGAAAAAAAAAGTTACAGAAAGTGGGGGTAAAAAGTTTATCTAAATGGTTTCAAAAAAATGTCGATCTCCCTCCCTCAATTTAGTTTTACCCCTTCCCTCAATTGTATTTATTTTGTAGGCATATATACTTACACACCCTACACACAATAGCATCAGTAGTATCAAGTGATGTTAATTATAGGACTATACAAACGTAGCCAGTGGTGAAGGGTTGGTGGATGATCCCAAACCCTGTCTCAAAAGATTCCCTCCCAGGGTTATATTGATATACATTTTGGTAGACAATGCAATTAGCATGCATGTGCTGCTAGACTGTTTGATATGTACAAAAGCTATGACGTCACATGGCATTTTGATGTCATAACGTCCGTAAGATGACCGTGAATGAATAGCTCATATCCAGGTCTCTTGGATGTCTGTACGTTTAACTTCTTTCGCATGATACCTAGCCAACCGTGCTAACTCTACACCTTACCACCTCCTGTATTTTGATTCCGGTACAAGGCGTCCAACACGTGATAAAGACATTCTTATTCATTCTAGGTACGAACTCCGGTTATCCTCACAGCGGCTTTTGGCTGGCCATCGAACAAAGATGGTCACCGCATCGCGCGGTGTCACATGCGCTGCTGCGGCCATCTTGAATGCTCTGCCTTCTGATATTAGGAAGCCACTGGAGCTACACACTTTTAAATCATCATCTAGATTGACAAACTCGTTTCTTTGAAACTGATGTTTGTGTTTAGTTTGTTGTCCTTCCCCCGCACACTCCGATTGGCACGGTTGCCAATGTACTGTGCAAAATAAATTCAACATATATACAACATACATACAACATACATACAACATACATACATCTTTGATCTGTGCATGCTCTCGCTTTTGTTGACCACAGATTTATAAATTCCCCAATGGAGATGAATGGCCTTTACACGCCACCTGGATGGGTGATGTGTCCAAGTGCGACGCCTCCATCACCGTCAGTGACATCAAGACTAACGACTCTGGGCGATATCGCTGTGAGGTCACGGTGTATCCACAAAAGAAGCACGACATTGGATATCTACAGTTGAATGTCAACAGTCCATCAGGTTTGTGTTATTTCCATCAAACGTCGTCTATATTACCACCCACAACTCTATAATCGATCCTATAGACCTGATATAGAACTCAACATGTACATTTTAGAGCCATGTGCCCAGTGCCACGGTGAACTGGGTTCAACCCCTGGCTACGATCTCATCACCACCAATGAACATCAAAACCTTTGACTGCTCCTCACCGACATTTACGCAGTCTTAAAACAACGTCGCATAGGATGTGACTCGGAGGTCATAGTGCTGAGTTAGCACCACTCAGAAGCATGGGTTTTAAGTCCAGACATTTGCCTGCGAGTTAACCTAGACCTAAAGTCGAGTGAGTTGATGGACTAAGCCCCCCCTTTCTGCAATTCTGCACTTAATTGACGAAATTAAAACTCTGACAGTTAAAACGTATCTGGTTGATTGTCACGCGATAAGCGCTGTTCCATGTGGAAGAAAAATTTGGGAAATATTCTTGGGTTTTTTCGGTAAAGTCACGTAGGTAAAAAATTCAAATTAATAAAAGTAAAATAAAATAAAAATCACGATGTTTCGGAGGCAACACAAGCTTCCGTCTTCAGGTGGAACCGTCACAGCACGATAGCTGTATCAAGTAAATGAGAAATTCCAAGAGATCCTACCCCGTATATATACTGGTTGAGAGGGGAGGAGCCAGGACAGGCCCCCTTTTTATTATTATGGTAAGGTTAGTGCGGCTTGAAACTACGGCTAGTCTACATAACAAAAAACTCAGCCTTTGTTATGTAGACTGGCTGAGAGGGGGGGGGGGGGGTGCCAGAGTTGTTAAAGTGCAACTGCTGCTAATGGGATCGAGCCACTGCCATGTAGATGGTTAAAGCAAAAAAGCAGGTCAGGAAGAAACAGCCTCCTGCTATGTGGCTTGGTGGGTAAAAATTATAGCAGGAAACCAGCGTGTGAAAAAGCTAAACATGATAAAACAAAACTGGCTATCAGTAAACTGTACAGTAACTAAAGAATAGTTGTCTGTCAAATAAGATGGTCCAAATATGTGTAGTTAAATCTTTTTTGCATGGTTAATCACATCTTTCCTCCCCCCTCAACCAGTATATATACGGGGTAGGATCTCTTGGAATCTCTCATTTACTTGATACAGCAATCGTGCTGTGACGGTTCCACCTGAAGACGGAAGCTTGTGTTGCCTCCGAAACGTCGTGATTTTTATTTTATTTTAATTAATTTAAAATTTTTATCTACGTGACTTTACCGAAAACACCCAAGAATATGAATCCTTGCAGTCACGAAAGCTTCAAATCTAGAAGAAATTTGGGAAAGTCCTGCTCCCAACTGTGTGGACCAGCAGAGGTCGCTTGAAGGAATCTTAGAGTCAGCTCTGTGATTGCCGCTCTGTGGACTGTTCTCTAGCAAGACACGTTGCACTACTCTGTGAGCAATTCCAATTAATGTTTATATTAGTGGCAGGACACAGGGATAACATTTGGTAACGAAAACATATAGAGAGGAAACCCTTGCCCAACGCAGCTTCATCTAAGACGTGTTGTGGATCTAGATGGTTGTGGCTGATGAGGTTTGTTATCCACAACACGGGGGGGGGGGGGTATTTCTGTGATAAGCAGTTTGACGATGCTAACATTTTCGTTTCTGCATAAAAAAGTTAGTGCCATGAGAGTGCTGCGTCCGTTGGAGTGAATGAATCGACTGTAAGAACGCTGTTTTTACCGTGTATGTCTGTGTACGTGTGGGTATGTTTTTTTCGAGCGATAATGTAATGCACTCAAAACGCACAGCAGCAGCACAACGTAAATGTTCACACATTACAGCATGATTCTTGTTATTGAGAACGTTAGTCATACGGACGACTAGATGGTGAATCATTCATGTTCAAGTGGCAGTGTTAGTGGCGAGCAGAGGGTGTGAGTGCTGTGGTGCGGGAAGAATGGAGACGGGGGTTTGTGTTGCATTGAAATTGACAGAGTGTACACACACACAAGAAATGAGAACGACTCAACATCCGTTAGTACAATAACGAGGGCGGGCATATTGTAGTATTAGTTACACAAATAGGGAGGGGGTGATCAATTCGAAGGCAGGAAGGCAACCCGAGTTTTCCCACGAGGTCTGTTTTTTGTCGAACAAAGTTGTGTCCAACATGGCATTCCAAGAACGTAACCCCCCCGCGTTCGATAAGGTCTGCCTGTTCTTTACTTTTTAAACGCATTGTTACTGACAAATGTTTAGCGTTTATACATTTATATTAGATAAGAAAATACACTAATGTGGGCGTTGTGTGTGGTTTCCCTAGAACTCGCGGTTGTGACCCCGGATAAAATGGACGCCATGGCAGGCACTACATTTCTGCTGCCCTGCTCCTACAGCTGTACAATCAGCGGCGTTACCCACACGCTGGTGGAGTGGTTAAGGATCATCGACGGGCGAGAAGAGAGGGTGAGTTACTCCTCTGTCTGTTCTGTGCGCCATTTGCCGCTAAATTGCAGAAAGCACAGGCGTGGAATTGATATGTCTTGTTAGTAAACCTGGTCACATGACCCTTGAGCATTTAAAATATCCAAAGCAGATGAAAAGGTTTGCTATTCATATTCTTAGTTTTCAGTAAAGTCACGTAAAAAGACATTTAAAGAATACATTGAAAATAATAAAAGCAAAAAACCCACGACGTTTCAATCGCAACACAGCGGTCTTCAGCAGGCGATGGAAACATCCAGAGGCGGAGCTAGGATTTTCAGGTAGGGGGGCAACCCCTCCAGCAATGAAAAATGATAGAGGAGTTGTTAGTAAGCATGGAGTTGTTAGTAAGTAAGGACTTGTCCCCCGGGCGGTTCTGCAGCCATCGATCGAGGGTTGAATTTGAACCATGTGTAGAGGAGTAATATGGGGACGTGACGTCATGCGCGCCATCCGGTGCGATGACATCATGGGAAGTGACGTAATGCGCGCTGGGCGTGGCGATGACGTCATGTCTCCGCTAGGTACTTAAGGGGGACCCCGTGACGAAAGCGGGGTCACTGTGGGAGCCCAGGATAGAGAACGGTTGAAGAGCCAGCCAGGGGTAGTGTTCAAGGAGTCTGGAGAGAAGCCGGCGGTAGGCATAGGAGGTGCTGCTCTCCCCGGTCGGTCGGTGTTGGCTGAACCCCCGATCCGACTCGAGGGAGAAAGCTCTGGAGCTCTGGAGCTAGGAACAGTGTGGGGTCGTGTGAATGACCCAGAATAGGACCCCTACTCCTGAGGAGTTTTCTAAACCCTTAATAAATATCCGGCGCAAGCCCTTACCTGAAAACCTGCCTCCTGCACCTCAACACATGTGTGATCGGCATCGTGCTCGCTGAAGGTGTTTGCCTTCAGGGAAGTCGTGTACCGTATACGCAACTGCGCACAATTCTGAGAGTCACTTATAACCACTTTGCCGTTACTTATTGCCAATTATGGACTCAGACTATTGTCCTATCATCTCATAGAGTCCCTGGTACGTAATATGCTACACGGTGGTAGTGGGGGTCACAAAATTCCGATTTATTACTAATAAACCCCAATGATCCGATCGAAATTAAGGATTTCGAATCATTCTCGGGTTTTATCTGAACGAATTTTATACTAAAATAATATAACGCATCTGATCTCTGTGTTGCTTTCACCTTTATTGACCACAGATTTATCAATACCCCGATGGAGAGAGCAGCCACTGGCCTTTACAGGCCACCTCGGTGGGTGATGTGTCCAAGTGTGACGCCTCCATCACCGTCAGCGACATCCAGACCCACGACTCTGGGCGATATCGCTGTGAGGTGATGGTGTTTCCACAAAACATGCCAGACATTGGGTATCTACAGCTGACTGTCCACCCACGAACAGGTTTGTATCACGTCTCTCATAGGTCTGTCCTACCACTCACTACTCCCATCATCTGTCATGTAGCCCAGACCTAACACTCAATGTCCACCCTACAAATCCACGTTTTGACTTTCGTGTTTGGTTTGTTGTCGTTCCACTGCACCTCCGTGCCTGCTACGTACGGTGTGAAAATAGTTCAACACGAATACGTACATGTGACAAAACTGTGGACCTAGAACCATGGTCATCTCCTGCCTGTGACTCTTCACTTTCAGTGTTCAATTAGCAAAAAATCCGGATGTCAAGTCTCATGAGTTTGTTATCTTTGCCTGGTCACCTGGGCACCCTTGTAAACAGATGTTCCTTCTCAACGGATTATCCAGGTGAAATTATTAAATAAATAAAAACAATACTACGCAAACATCGTAACATTATATTTGGTTATCTGACATTGCACTTAATTTGGCTAATTCCAAGCTCTTAACAGTTAAACCAGGCAGAGCTCGTCTAACGCGGGGGTTACGTTCCTGGAAAATGGCGCGTTGGGCTAAACCGCGTTCGGCAAATAATAGACCTAACAAGAAAACTATGATTGCTTTCCTGGGTCCGAAATCATCACCCCCTCCCTCTTTGTTTTATAAATTCTAAAGAATGTTGGTGCTTGTTTTTGTACTGAAGGATGCTGAGTTGCTCTCCATTTCTTGTGTGTGTGCACTCTTTAGTTTTCACTATCGCTTCAACATAAAACCTCTTTCTCCACTTCTCTTCCCGTACCACGGCATTCATGCTCAACACTCGTACTTAATACGGTCAATTTAACGTTAAATGATTCGCCATCTTGGCATTCGTATAACATTGTCATCAGTGAATGGATGGCTAGATGCATGTGGCAATATGTAAACATTTGCGTTGTACATGTTGAGTGTTACGTTATCACACAAAAAAACACAAATACACTAAAAATATACGTGTAAATAAATAGTTCTCACAGTAGATTCATTCACACCTTCCAACGGATGCAGCACCCTTTGAAACATAGATGATAAACTTAGCGTTAAACCACGCAGAACTGAACCACCACCCCCATTTTCCGGAAACCGACCCACATCAGGTAACTGGTGTAAAGCCAAAACACGCATTCAACAAAGGTTTGCCTGTATGTCTGTTTGAGTGTCATGCATCAAACATTATAAACATTTCTCGATAACTAGTAACGTGGTCTAACCCCCAAAAACATATTTTATGGATGACATTGGTCGCGAAAGCCTACGTGTTAAACATTACTCGATTTTGCAATGCACAATCGGAAAATAATCCTCCCTGCTGTGTTGCTCTAATGTCACTTCAACTAAACTATTTTTATTTTACCCAGTAAGGCCCACTGAGCTATGCGGCTTTTTTTCAGACGCGACAAATGATAGCTCAACAAAGTGGCTTATCATACGGACATTTAACGCAGCCAAATACTCTTGTCATGAGAGCACCATTGCCTGGATTATTAGGGGGGGGGCATATATTAATTATACAGTCCATGCTTATCCATAGTGGGGTTTGCATCTGGGTGAAAGGTGAGAGGCGGTTCCACCAGGGAAGCCTCTGGAACGTTCGGGAAGGTTCCAGGAGGGGCGGGGCTTAGTCTCGGGAGGGGGATATAAACGGGACACGGAGCAATGCGAAGGGGTCGGTGCTGAAGACTGAAGAGCAGCCCTGCTGCTGCTGCCCCGTCATCTCCATCGACCACGTGGCGGCTCGTCCTCCAGCCGCTCCCGAGCGCACCGTCAGTCAGCTGTGCATTGGAGAGCCACGTGGCTCTCCAATGCACCCGGTAAAAATGGTAAATTACCTTACCTTGCCGAGGCAAGGTAAGGTAGAGGTGTGCGGGGGGAGAGGGGGAGCAAAACGGCAACACGATTGCAGCCAAGATAGATGATGGTGGAGCCCCAAACAAAATAGTCGCACTGCTGAACTCTGATACAATTAACTCGGTACAATAAACTAGTACCCGGTAAATAAGATAGAACACCTAAGAACAATTACATTTTTACATGGTTAACATCTTTCCAATGATTGTTCAATTTGCATCCATCTTCTCGTGATTTAATTTAGTTTTTATTTAATTTATTTTTTTACCTACGTGACTTTACCGAATAAAACCAAAGAGTATAAACCGAAGATACTTACCGTGTCGGACACCACTCCTTACACTCTTAACATCTCTTTCTATATATGGAAGGGAAATCTGGAGGACCCGGATAAAAATCCACGCGACCACGAGGAGAGTAAACACGCAAACGCCAAACATACACCATAAGGTGTCGGGGTCGGGCTCGAACCCACGACCCCTGTCTACCAGGCGAGGTAGTTAACATCTCACCACCTCGGCTCCACTTGAAGGGACCTCAGAGGTAGCTCTAAGACATCCCCTTCTGTGGACCGTTCTCAAACATGCAGCATTGCACTGCTCTGCTAGAGACCTAAAGAGATGCTTCGTCTAACGGAAAGTATTTGCCCCTCTCTCTGTCCTAATTGTCACCACTGCGTTGTGAGACCAGCAGCACCACCTCCTCCTCTAGAGGTTCATTCCCACTTCTCATGTGACCATCGTGGGTTTGTCCACAGAGCTGGCCGTTGTCACCCCAGATGCAAAGGACGCCACAGTAGGCAGCACGGCTCTCCTGCCCTGCTCTTACACCTGCAACATCACGGGTATTAATCACACCCTGGTGGAGTGGTTCAGGACCATAGGCGGACACGATGAGAAGGTGCGTCACTGTCACACTTGCACACTATTACTTACACCCTGCTGCTCACAATGATGATTAAATGTTCTCTATTAACGCCGTTCATGCTAATTTATTTCAATGGAGGTCACCCCCTCTCCTTTTCTGGTCCCATTGTCAGACAGCAGTATAGTGTTGTATCTTCAACTAGAATAATCTCAAATTATCTCCGTTCTCTCTACTCTGAAGAAGTCATTTCCTTGGTGTATTATATGTTTATCTATTAAAATTCAATGTTATTTACATCTTATGGCAGTTTTCCGAATATGAGCACGTGTATTATGTGGACACATAGTCATGCTCTGGTGTGTTGTCACGTTTGTCGTCAAGGTGTATAAGATCATATACAGAAAGAGAAGCCTCCGGCCGATGCAGGTGACTTGGGTGGGTGATGAGTCCACGTGTAACGCCTCCATCACCATCAGCGGCATCCAGACCCACGACGCTGGACGACATCGCTGTGAGGTCACGATTTATCGATACGACAAGCCAAGCATGAAAGACATCGGGTATCTGCAGCTGAATGTTCACAATGAACCAGGTTTGCATTATGTTCTCCCTTGATCTATTTAACACCCACCGCTTTATCATTCTCGTTAAGCGAGATTGCAAATTATATTTATTGTCCAGATTTACCACTAAAATTCACTCTGTGGCACAGGTGTTGAGGAGTAGTTGATGACGTCATGTCACCCTGGGGTGTATGAGGGATGACGTCTTGTCACCCTGAGATATAAGCGTGGACCCGTGATATGAAAGAGGTCGTCGTCAGGGGCCGGGAACGAGAGCGGTTGGAAGTCGGGACCCAGGGAATTAGCACTAGGCTAGGGCAGCTACTTCACCCGGCCGACTGAGTTGGCTGATCTCTCGGTCGGTGCTGAGGGAAGAGCCTGAATAGCCTGGCTCCCAGTACCCTTCCCTCGGGGAGATTTTGGATAGCCCGTAATAACTGTTGGGCTTAAGCCCCTATTAACTCCTCGGCGTAAGCTTGTTAAGTTCCTAGGCGTAAGCCCCTAATAAACATTGGCATCAGCCCTTACAGAGATCGTCGTCACTTGCACCCCATCACAGCCATAAATGGTCTTTGTTATTCCTCACAGATATCACATCCTGTAGTATAAGAAACTCGACTCTTTGTTGAGTTGTCTACATGAGCGAATGACAGCTTGAGTTCCTGTCTCTCTCTGTCTGTGAGATTGTTGTCCACGTGTGGGATGTGGAATGTTTTCATGTTAAAAAAGAGCTTTTTAGCTCAAGGGGCTCTACTCAGGAAATAAGTTTCTGATTCGGATTCACTTCAAGTGCCGATGTGGGAGCTGCAAGGTGATTTACGACGTCAACAGGAACCGGCACAGCGATGACCTCTCCTGCTGCTGTCCATGACTCCGTTGGCGTCATTGTCTGCTGCCGAAATTGGCCCCAAAACTCATCGCAAGCTGTTCTACCGTTCACCTAATGAACACGATGCTCGGCAAACCGTGCGTTGAGGGTGAACACCTCACCTGTGAACACAGCCGCAGGAGAATCATGAACAATGGCCTCCCTCTAGGCTCGGTTATAATAGCACCGTCACTATTTAACATTCACAGGCAGGCCTCGCCGTACGCGGGGGTGTTACATTCCTAGAAAATGATGTGTTAGGCAGAACCGCGTTCGACAAATAATAGACATTATGGGAAAACTAGGGTTGCCTTCCAGGGTCTGAAATGATCACCCCTCACTCTGTTACTAATACTAGTACATTTCTGCCCTTATTGTACTAAAGGATGCTGAGTCACGCTCCATTTCTTGCGTGCGTACACTCTTTAACATGAAACCATCGACTCATCCCCGCACCGCAGAACTCGCGTCCAATGCTCTCCCCTGACAATGAATTCCCAGCCCCACGCTCGCCCCCGACTCCATCGCCGATTCGCCATCTCGGCGGCCATCTAAAGTCCTCAAAGACTGGACGGCGAGATGCTTGCGGCATTTTGAACATTCCCATTGCATCGCTGTGCATGTCGAGTGTGTTACTTTTTCATACGAAAGATTCTCAAAAACACGCACACTAAAACATGCGTGGTAATTAAATGGTTCTTACAGTGGATTAACTCGCACATTCCAATGGATGCAGCACCCTCACGGCACTACTTTTCGACATTGAGATGAGAGTCTTAGCATCCAGCCGAAACATCACCTCCCATGTTACGGAAAACAGGCCTCATTAGGTCTTGCACCACGTAGAGCCAGAACGTGCATTCGATAAAGCCAGAGCACGTCTGCGCTCCTCCTGACAACCAGGAGGAGCACAGACGCTGTGTAGCACAGAAACGAGGATGGTGCGATGGATCTCAGCGATCACAGGACTGGATCTGTCAGAACTGAAGAGCTGGAGAAGTAGGCGGGAGTGGTGGTGCTCATCTCACTCGAGCGGAGAGAGGGAGTCGGCTGACACGGCTGGGGCTGCCTTAGTAGAGGAGGGGGTAACCGCAAGGGCGATGAACGTGGAGGCACCAGGGCAGAGACAGAGGTGCAGGCCGAGAGCGAGGGGAGTGGAAGTGGCGAACGCGGCGGATTCGAGGGACTGGGGAGTAGACGCGGAGGCGGCCCAAGGCAGCAACGAGCAGAGCAGGAGGAGCTGCAGGGCAGAGACCGCACGAGAGGAGGGGGACATGGCAGGAAGAGGAAGAAGACGTTGACTGTGTGCATCTCTTGGGTGTTCACGTGTTTCCGTGTCGTCTGCGTTTGTGTTTAATAGAACCGAGAGACTCAACACCCACGCCAACCCCAGCTCCAGCTCCAGCTTCATCACCTGCAGCTGGCATCGTCCTTGGAGTCATTGTTGCTCTTCTGGTTATTGTTGCTGGAGTTGTTTTTTACTGCAGGAGGAGGATGAGACTATGTCAGACACGAGAACCAGAAGCCCCGTGAGTATCGACCGCACTTGCACCAGAACCTCACAGTGAGTGATAGAACACGGCTCATAATGGCCACGCCAGAGACCCTGAGCCGGCCCTCTCCAAGGGCCTGAGTTTGACTCCAGCTCCCTGCCTGCCCGTGACTCAGAGCTGTGCTCAGTGGAGCCTGCGTGAGTTCCTGGCAGCTGAGACCCCTGAGTTAGACTCCCAGCCGTGGCTGCTGTCAGTGACAGGGGCTCCATATCAGTGGGGGTGGTCATGTGAGACTGCGTCAGTCATAGGAGATGGTGAACTCAATGGGCTCTCACGTAGTTAAATAAAGGATGTCTGTCAAATCAGCGTCAGTGTTTGCTGTGGTCAATGGTTCCATGCGGGTGCCAGGCAGGTGTGAGGCGTGGGTTAGACTCTCAGCCGTGCCAGTGACACAGGCTGCATGTGGGTGAGGATGGGGATGTGTGAACAACGTGTGTCCACTTCTCTCTCAACAGGCCTCAAGAAATGCAGCCAATGAACCCAATTGGATAAGACGAAGTGAGAGCGAGAGAGGTATGAAGCAGGGGCCACTCTCGTCAGGGTCATTCTTCCTGTGTGTGTGTGAGTGTGCGTGCACTGCGCTAAGAACCAGCTACAGTACCTGGGTTCAATTCCCTAACCTCGCTGTGTCGTGTGAACGCCAACACTGCTGAGACAAAGGCGGCCGAGCGTGGTGCTGGCCACATCACCCTCTCGAGGTGTTACTCGCTAGCAGCACTTGCCTTGACTGACTGGTCAAGGCTAAATCATGGGGTACCGTTGTGTTCGTCATGCATGTGTGTCATGGCACGGGAAGTGACTTTGATTCACGAGCCGGGTGCTTGAGGCTGGAATGAAGCCCCCCCCCCCCCCCCTGTTACGATGCATGCAGGGGCACGTGCAAGACGCTACGAATCACGTGGCCAGGATAGGGTAAACAACTTGGAGGAAGTGCCGGGTGAAGCTTGTGCGGGGCCTATAGCATATTATGTTATAAAGGGGCCCTACATTTTTTGCAAAAAAACACGTCAATATTCAAACATACATTTTTAACTTGCACATTAAATTAATTGTATTTTTTCAGTTGCTATACAGCCAGATAATACGACAAATCGCTAACCTTAAACACCCAGTCGTTCATAAAAGTTGAAGGTGGTATAGTACTATAGTAATAGAGCAAGTGCAAAATCACTGAACCGGAATTGATAGCTTGAAAGCATTTAGCGCGGGGCCCTTAAAAGTGCGGGGCCCGTAGCATTTGCTACTTTTGCTACTACAATAATAAGACACTGATAATTAGCATGTGATACTTTTGCCACTAGGATAATCCGGCACTGCTTGGAGGTTGTGAATGTGAGTAGGATGGTCCAGACTGTCTGGGAAGAGAAGGGAGTGCTCAACAAATTGCTTAAATTCGGGCTCGCAGCTCGAGTCAATAATACTTTTTAATGTTTTGCTGAATGATCGATTCTTCTGTTATGATGTTTTAAAGCAATATAATTACAAGCAGTAATTAGGCTTGGTTTGGTCTTCATAGAACTTACTTTGTTTTAGAAAATGTATAATGACTGGGGAAGCCCACCCCAGAATGAGCGCGATATTTCAGTGGCACACTGTGCGCGTGTGTGTGTGCTGAGTGGACTTGCCGATGAACGTAACCAGCGGTGTCAAGATCGGCCTCTTTGACGGAGGTTCGTGAAGGATGTTGCTGAGCAGCTGGAGGCAGTCGCCCTCCAACAACAACGGAGGGCAGAGCAGGCGGATATGTGGTGCCACAGCAACGGAGCAACTCCACCAGCGCCGCTATCTCCTTGCACCCCTCCACACGAACGCACCCACACCCCCACTAAACACACAACACGCACCCACGTAGGGTCTCGTGGGGGGGTCACCTGGTACCATGGGTTTTTACCCGAGGGGCCCCTAGCGGGGATGCCCCACGGTTTCCCGGTGCCAGGAGATTGGCTGACCCCTTCCAGGCCAAATTGCATTGTGGCTCCCTTGAATTGGCTTAAAATTGTATGGGCGCGAAGAAGCTCACCGGGCTAACCACAATGAGACACTCACAACACGGGGGAGGGGCCAGGGGGGGAAATATTACGCGGGCAGCGCAGACGAGGAGGTGGGAGGGAAATTCCTGGACCTGCTGCAGATTGTGTATTCCGCGGGACGGCCACCCCGACCAAACCGGTTGCGGCCGGGGTGGGGAGGACAGGTGCGTAGGCAATGGGTTAAGGCGCACCGGAGAGTAACGCTCCAGGTAAGGGCGGGGCATCGGTTTAAAATCGAAAGGTAGGCACCCGATTGGCCGGGCAGGATAACACCACATGACCCTGGATCTTAGGATTCCGAGGGCATAAAAGGAGGGAGCGGAAAAACGTTAGGAAGTTCTCCTCCAGCCGTTCAGCCGCCCGGCCCGACTCCCAGCCGCTCGCAGCGTCCGAGAGATGCTAGCGAGTTCCAATACGACTCGACCCCAGGCAGAAACCTCTCGGATCATCGTGCCTCCGACTCCCACAGCGTCCGTGCGACACCGTGAGTGCATCTGCGAGGTGATAAGTAGAGTGGGGGTACACCCAGGGATTGAAAAAGGATAGGCTAGGCGCTGCTCGCAGAATATTTACTCCAGGCCGCACAGGGTTTTCTGTAGACGCGCCATTAATAAACTTCTGTTCAGAAGATCGGTGTAGTGTGATTTCTGTGTGTGTGGGTGAACTTCGGCGTGGTGTCTGTGATTTTTGAGTGGAGCGACTGCGTGCGGGGCCTGGTGAGAGAGCGAGCGTGGGGCTGCAGGGTGTCGGCACGGGGTTGGTGTGTGAGGTGCGCGTAGGTTACCATCTATACGACCGTCATTGTTTACGTAGGTTTTCGCGCGGTGTGTAGAAAATGCACATCTGCTATGCCGAAGACGGCGGCGGTGGTGAGATGACAGCACGGCGATGGGAACCGCTTCCAGCAACAGCCCCAAACTCTTGCTGGGGGCCCCCTCTTTTCCTCCCGGCGTTGCCTCGCTCCGCCCTGGCCACGCCCCCCTTCTGGAACCTACCAGCAGGTTATCGGGACTTCCAGATGGACACCTTTTTGAGCTTTACCCTTAGTTCTCTTTCCCTCCGTGTGTACTGTCACCTGTTGACGTGTACTGCCATACACTGCAGTTACCACTTTCCGTCAGCAGCCAGCGCCTTTAAACACGTGTAATGACAGTAGAGTCAACCTATGGTGTGAGTGGACTAGTGGCCACATGGCAGGTGATGACAGGGGAGTCAGCTTGTAGTTTGAATGGACTGGTGGCCACGGGATCGATCGAGAATAGGGATGTGGCCAGGTGACGTAAGAGGACTGGAGTCAGCTTGTCTAGGGCGTGGTCACGGGGCAGGGGCGTGGCCACGCACCGTATATTAGGGGAATGCGTGGGAAACTCACGGCCGTTGCGGTGGGGTCTCCGCCTGTCCGAGTGAGCACGTGGCTGCTTAAATAAAGAAAGCATCTCAAGACAAGTGCATCCGAGTCGTCTTTACACATGCAAGCAAACTTGCTCAGACAATGTATGTGGAGTGGCGTACAGCGCGCAGGGTTTGCAAACAGCAGTTGCATTCATGTACGGGGTTGCAAACAGTGAGGGCAAGCAGGTGCAAGCGTATGGCCAGCAGACAGAGAGACGCCAGCAATTAAGGAAAGAGGCAGTGATTGACTGGCTGCAAATGTAAACACGGAATAGGCGCCAAGAAGGCGAGAGATAGAGGCAATAAGGGGGGAGCACGTGCAGGAGACGCCGGAAGGACACCGGCTTAACGAGGGCCACCTGAGGACACTGAATGAGGGGTGATATAAGGGGAACGTGTGAATCAACGGGGTTGAGTTGGCTGGAGATGAAGAAGTGAAGAGTCAATACAAGAGAAGTTCGGGACTTCGCCCTCCACACCGGTGTTGGCTGAACCCCCGCTGGGGGCACGGGCGAGGTTGTAGGTGTGGGTGTAGTAACAGGCTAACGGGGGAGAGGCTAGCAGAACCCTGAGTGTGAGTGTGTTAGGCTAGTGAAGAATAGGCTAGCAAGAGATTCAGTGAGAGGTTAGTGGGGTGAGAAGCTCGTGCGGTGAGAAGCTAGCGGAGTACACAGTAAGAGGCTAGCGGAGAACAGGCTAGCGGAGCCAGAGAGAAAGCTCGGACCTAGCAGGCTAGTGGAGCCAGAGAGGGAGAAAAGTGTGGTGAAACGTGGTGAGCATCCGTGTGGATGCTTCGACTAAAGTGACGCAGGAGAAAACGAAGAAGTTGCCCGCGTGAATAAACACCACTACATGTGCGCCGTGGTCGCTTCTGAAAAAGAAGCTAATAGCTGAGTGGACCCTACCTGGTAAGATAAACAACTATAAAGTTTAGTTTTATTTGGATATTTTTCCATTGATTGGTTTACCTTTCCTCTGCTTTGCACTCCGATTTTCAGTTTGTTGTTGTAACATTCTGACCCAGTGCCGTGACTGGACATCTGCGCACAAAAGGGCTTCATAGCTCATCGGATTCTTCTGGTCTCAGATAAAGATTCTGAGGCTTCTCGTGATGAGTTTAACTTTTTACTAAACTACTTAAACTATATATTCTTGGTTCTTTCGGTAAAGTCACGTAGAAGGGAAATAATAAAATAATAAAAATATAAAACAATAAAAATTCTCACGACGTTTCGACTGCAACACAAGCAATCATCATCAGATGTGAGAATTTGTATTGTTTTATATTTATATTATTTTATTATTTCCCTTCTACGTGACTTTACCGAAAGAACCAAGAATATGAATCCCTGCAGTCACGAAAGCTTTAAATCAATACTTAATTTTCGATTTAAAGCTTTCGTGACTACAGGGATTCATCTTCTTGGTTCTTTTGGTAAAGTCACGTAGAAGGGAAGTAATAAAATAATAAAAATAAAACATAATAAAATAATTCTCACGACGTTTCGGCCACAACGCAAGCAGCCGTCCTCAGGTGACATACCTGTTTCTTCACCTGAGGACGGCTGCTTGCGTTGTGGCCGAAACGTCGTGAGAATTATTTTATTATGTTTTATTTTTATTATTTTATTACTTCCCTTCTACGTGACTTTACCAAAAGAACCAAGAAGATGAATCCCTGCAGTCACGAAAGCTTTAAATCGAAATTTTAACTATGTGCATTGTTACCAGGTGTCAGACCCCACTGAGCTGTGCAGCTCTTTAATCAGAAGTGAGATGGGCCATCACTAATTAAAGCAGCTCAACCACGTGGCTGATGTCATCACCACCACTTGATGTCATCACCACCACGTGATGTCATCACCACCACGTGATGTCATCACCACCACGTGATGTCATCACCACCACGTGTACATTGATAGCAGCAGCAGCCAAACTCGTGGCGACATCGATGCTGAATGTGGAGGGGAAACCCGGAGGACGTGGAGACAATCCACGCGACTACGGGGAGAGTAACTCGCAAACTCCAAATATACAGCAGCAGGCGTCAGGGTCGGGATTGAAGCCACGACCTCCTGTACACCAGGCGAGGTGGTTAACATCTCTTGACTCAAAGCTTTTGTTGACTGCAGGAATTCACATTCTTCGGGTCTTTCGGTAAAGTCGCGTAGATAGGTTCAAGGAAAATAACAAAAACTACGAAGTTTCGATCGCAACACAAGCGATCGAAACTATTTTTAGTTTTTTGTTATTTTCTTTTAAGCTATCTACGTGACTTTACCGAAAGACCCAAACAATAAAGTTAACATCTGTGACGTTTGTTTGTGCAGCACCCCACCCACTCCTTGGACTAGAGAACCCCAAAGTCATCTCACTTCCTTCTGTAAGTCACAGTCGTCTAACACGGAAAGGGAGAGGGGGTGGGGGGTGAAGCACCCATTGGGCTGTCAGAGTGTAGCACCACCCACTGTGCTATGAAACTCACGCAGAGGTGACAGCCACACTCACACACTCTACACACTCAGAGGTGCCACTCAACGCGTGCATCGAATCATCATCGTTCACCCCACGGAGCTGTGACTTGCCTAACAACGGTGAGGATTTAACTCTGTGAGTGTGTAAGTGTGTGAATGTGTAAGTGTGTGAGAGTGTGTAAGTGTGTGGGTGTGAGAGTGTGTAAGTGTGTGAGTGTGTGAGTAAGTGTATGCAAGTGTGTGAGCGTGAGTAAGAGTGTGTGAGTGTGTGTGTAAGTGTGTGAGTGTGTGAGTGTGTAAGTGTGTGTGTAAGTGTGTGAGTGTGTAAGTGTGTGGGTGTGAGAGTGTGTAAGTGTGTGAGTAAGTGTATGCAAGTATGTGAGTGTGAGTAAGAGTGTGTGAGTGTGTGTGTAAGTGTGTGAGTGTGTAAGTGTGTGTGAGTGTGTGAGTGTAAGTGTGTGTGTGTAATTGTGCGAGTGTGTAAGTGTGTGAGTGTGTAAGTGTGTGTGTGTGTAAGTGTGTGAGTGTGACCACGTAGTTTGTGAAGCCTTCAATAGCTGTACCGGGGGAATTTCCATTTGGTACAGATATAATGGGAGGCTGATCGATGCCCGGGTGTGATCAAGGGATGGCTCCCTATTGGTCAACCACGTTATGTATGCCGATGATTTGGTAATAGCTGCTCATTCAGAAGAGGAGTTGGAGACCCTGCTGCTGAAACTGGAGCGTGCCACTAAGAGGTGGGGCCTTACCATCAGCCCCACCAAAACTAAGCACCTGCCTGGGAATTTTGTACCATCGGACACTCCACCGCCACAACTCCCAATCGGTGATGGGGCAGTAGTGGAGAGAGTGGAGAGTTTCCCATACCTGGGCAGTGTGCTTATGACCGACTCCAGTTTAACAGCAGAGGTCTCACTCCGAATCAGTCGAGCGGCAAAATCTTTTCATCGGTTGCGTAACGCTGTGTGGAAGCTACCTGGTCTGTCGCTCCGCACGAAGCTTCAGGTCTTCTCGGCCACGGTCATTCCCTCCCTTCTCTACGCTTGCGAAACGTGGACCCCCCTAATGGAGCATCTTCGCCGGTTGGAAACATTTAGGTTGGCCTGCCTACGATCCATCCTGAGTTTAACCAGGCTGGATTGTGTGAGGAGCTCACAAATCCTTGAAAGATCTGGGCAAAGTCCCATCGGTGAGCTCCTCCGGCAGGCAAGGCTGCGTTGGCTGGGTCATGTAGCCTGCATGCCCAGCCACCGCATGCCTCAACAGCTTTTGTTCGGCCGGATCGAGGGGGCTAAACGGGCGCGGCACGGGCTAGAGAAGAGATGGAGTGATGTGGTACAGGAGGACGTGGAGCTGCGTGGACTTGCCGATGACCGGTACCAGCGGTGTCAAGATCGGCCTCTGTAGAGGAGGCTCGTGAAGGACGCTACTGGGCAGTTGGACGCAGTCGCCCTCCAACAACAACGGAGGGCGGTGGAGCGACGCTCACAACAACGAGTGGAGCGCCAAGTGGCTAAAGCACAGCAAGTTGGCACAATAGGGGGCACAGGTGGTGCATCAGCCAGTCATCTCGGTCATCTCAGTCAGTCGACCCGTGGCACCTGCTGGGTCTGTCCCGTGACCTCCTGCCAGCGGGCGTTCGACACTTCACGTGGCCTCAAGGTGCACATGGCCTGGCACAAGCGTTGTGGTGACGTCACCGCCACTGAGTGGCGAATGGCGGGTATTGGTGTGGATGTTGGACTTCTTTCGCACCGTACGTAGCCAACCGCTGCTCATCGGAGTTGCGGGTGAAGGACAACAATCTAAGCACAGCAACAGCACTCAGTTCTAAACAAATGAGTGCTCAATCGAGATGATTTTAAAGTGGCTTCCCAATATCGCAAGCAAGAGCGTTCCAGACGGCCGCAGAAGCGCATCCCAAAGCGTGCGAGGCGATGTGTGTGTGTAGGTCGACTCAGCCTCAAATGTTCGTAAACATCGCCACTAGGGAGACAAAGGCGGCCGGGCGTGGTGCCGGCCACCCTCTCCCCCGTGTGCCACAGCGCCGGTAGCCTTCACAGGCGCTGCTACTCGCTAACAGCACTTGCCCCTGCAGTCTGTTAGAGGCTACGTGGGTGATCTTTGTCTTTGTGCAGTTGGGCGAGTCGAGAACTTTGATCTTTGCACTTTGTGTGTGCGGAGCGGCAGTGGCAGCGAGTAGCGGAACGAACCCGGCGACACGAGTTCGATTCCAGCTCGGGGCTGTTATTTTGATGATTTTTGAAAAGTTTTGCGGTTTGGCCATGTTTGTTTGTTGTAGTACAGAGAGTACAGAGTTAGACTGATGGCCTTAATCTAAGTTGTCTTGTGGTTGTTTTGGTTGTTTGACTTGCACACAGTGTTGGTGTACGGTGCTTTTCCTGCAACATTTTGCTGTCTTTTCTTGGATTTTCTGTTTGCACTTAGTAACATCGTCACTTTAAGATGTTTCTTGTTCATGTTTTTGTTTTTTTGTTTGTTGCGGTTGGACCCGATTCAAGAGCCGAATGGCTCACAGGGCTATACCTAATCAATGAACTTGAACTTGAACCAGCTGGGGAACCGATTGGACTGCGCTGTGATGCAAACTCCATTGAGATGAATTGTCCCTTGTGATTGACGTCCTTTATTTAACCACCAGCTGAGAGAGAGAGCTCCTATTGAGATTCACTGTCTCGATTTAAAGCTTTCGTGACTGCAGGGATTCATCTTCTTGGTTCTTTCGGTAAAGTCACGTAGAAGGGAAATAATATAAAGAAAACATAATAAAATCTATTATTTATTATAATAAAAATTAAACCTAATAAAATATATTATTTTATGTTTTATTTTTATTATTTTATTATTTCCATTCTACGTGACTTTACCGAAAGAACCAAGAAGATTCCCTGTCTCGTGTTGACGAGTCTTGCCGCGCGGTAAAGTGAGGAGATGTGACCCTCATGCCAAACGATGAATTAATTTGTAAATCGTTTGTAACTTGTTCATTTTACAGAATTCCTGTCCTCCATTCGTAAAGAAATGGCCGTGAATTCTCGACTCGGAACAACAACAACATTACCAATATTCCTACTAGCCTTAATTGGTAAGTAGCACCATCATCACCACCACGACCACCACCACCACGTGCAGCCTGTAACAGCTGTTGGGGCAAGCGCTGAGCGAGGCTGAGGGTGGAGTGACTGGAGCAGGGGTCACGTGGGGGGCACGTGGGGGTCACGTCGGGGTCACGTGGGGGTCACGTGGGGGACGGAGTGGAGTGTTGAGATGGGAGAAGAGGAGGCGGATGGGCGATGGGGAAGAGGGGAGGAGGCTCTCAGAGAGGAATGGAAGGAGGCTAAAGAGGGGGACTGCTTCATGTACAGGGGCACTGCTGAGTCTATGGGTAGCAGTGTTGAGTCTATGGGTGGCAGTGTTGAGTCTATGGGTAGCAGTGTTGAGTCTATGGGTAGCAGTGTTGAGTCTATGGGCAGCAGCGTTGAGTCTATGGGTAGCAGTGTTGAGTCTATGGGTAGCAGTGTTGAGTCTATGGGTAGCAGTGTTGAGTCTATGGGTGGCAGTGTTGAGTCTATGGGTAGCAGTGTTGAGTCTATGGGTAGCAGTGTTGAGTCTATGGGTAGCAGTGTTGAGTCTATGGGTAGCAGCGTTGAGTCTATGGGTAGCAGTGTTGAGTCTATGGGTAGCAGTGTTGAGTCTATGGGTAGCAGTGTTGAGTCTATGGGTAGCAGTGTTGAGTCTATGGGTAGCAGTGTTGAGTCTATGGGTGGCAGTGTTGAGTCTATGGGTGGCAGTGTTGAGTCTATGGGTAGCAGTGTTGAGTCTATGGGTAGCAGTGTAGAGTCTATGGGTAGCAGTGTTGAGTCTATGGGGTAGCGTGGTGTTGAGTCTATGGGTAGCAGTGTAGAGTCTATGGGTAGCAGTGTTGAGTCTATGGGTAGCAGTGATGAGTCTATGGGTAGCAGTGTTGAGTCTGTGGGCAGCAGTGTTGAGTCTGTGGGCAGCAGTGTTGAGTCTGTGGGCAGCAGTGTTGAGTCTGTGGGTAGCAGTGTTGAGTCTATGGGCAGTGCTGAGTCTATGGGTAGCAGTGCTGAGTCTATGGGTGGCAGTGCTGAGTCTATGGGTAGCAGTGCTGAGTCTATGGGTAGCAGTGATGAGTCTATGGGTAGCAGTGTTGAGTCTATGGGCAGCAGTGTTGAGTCTATGGGTAGCAGTGCTGAGTCTATGGGTAGCAGTGTTGAGTCTATGGGTGACAGTGCTGAGTCTATGGGTAGCAGTGTTGAGTCTATGGGTAGCAGTGATGAGTCTATGGGTAGCAGTGTTGAGTCTGTGGGCAGCAGTGTTGAGTCTGTGGGCAGCAGTGTTGAGTCTATGGGTAGCAGTGTTGAGTCTATGGGTAGCAGTGTTGAGTCTATGGCAGTGCTGAGTCTATGGGTAGCAGTGCTGAGTCTATGGGTAGCAGTGCTGAGTCTATAGGTAGCAGTGCTGAGTCTGAGAGCAGTGTTGAGTCTCAGGGTGTCGTTAATTACGGCACGAACACAGTCCACGTGCAAGGCGTTACATCGCCCTTCACTCAACTATAAAACAATCCATAAAACTACAAACTCCGATAAACCATCTGCAACACTTAGTTGGAGAGGCAACACTCACACACACGCGCAATAGATAACACGCAAACAAGACAAAGATCCCCCTTATAGCCTCAACATGATGTTGGGGCAAGTGCTGTTAGCGAGTGGCAGCAGCAGCGCCTATGAAGGCCTGGCGTGGTGCTGGCCACCCACCGACTCACACAGAGACCCACCGACTCACACAGAGACCCACCGACTCACACAGAGACCCACCGACTCACACAGAGACCCACAGACTCACGCAGAGACCCACCGACTCACACAGAAACCCACCGACTCACACAGAGACCCAGACTCACACAGAGACCCACCGACTCACACAGAGACCCAGACTCACGCAGAGACCCACCGACTCACACAGAGACCCACCGACTCACACAGAGACCCACCGACTCACGCAGAGACCCACCGACTCACGCAGAGACCCACCGACTCACACAGAAACCCACAGACTCACACAGAGACCCACCGACTCACACAGAGACCCACCGACTCACACAGAGACCCACCGACTCACGCAGAGACCCACCGACTCACGCAGAGACCCACCGACTCACACAGAAACCCACCGACTCACACAGACCCAGTGACTCACGCAGAGACCCACAGACTCACACAGAGACCACCGACTCACATAGAGGCCCACTGACTCACACAGAGACCCATGGACTCACACAGAGACCCACAGACTCACACAGAGACCCACAGACTCACAAACAGAATGCAACCTTCACCTTGGTAGCTGGCCACCAACAGCACAGTCTGGAGATGTTTTATCACTCATGAATACAAATTACGAGTTCCAAGTCCTGGGTCAGGGTCTCTCTCTCCCTTTCATAACTGCAGATGAGTGAGGTTTACGATGGCCGTGTTTACACAACTCTCAATGCGCGTGAGTGTGTGAGCGTGAGAGTGTGTGTACAGATATAATGGGAGGCTGATCGATGCCCGGGTGCGGTTAAGGGATGGCTCCCTATTGCTCAACAACGTTAGGTATGCCGATGATCTGGTAATAGCTGCTCACTCAGAGGAGTTGGAGGCGCTGCTGCTGCAACTGGAGCGTGCCAATAAGAGGTGGGGCCTTACCATCAGCCCCACCAAAACTAAGCACCTGCCTGGGTATTTTGTACCATCAGACACTTCACCCCCACAACTCCCAATCGGTGACGGGGCAGTAGTGGAGAGAGTGGAGAGTTTCCCATACCTGGGCAGTGTGCTCATGACCGGCTCTGGTTTAACAGCGGAGGTCTCACTTCGAATCAGTCGAGCGGCAATATCTTTTCATCGGTTACGTAACGCTGTGTGGAAGCTACCTGGTCTGTCGCTCCGCACGAAGCTTCAGGTCTTCTCGGCCACGGTCATTCCCTCCCTTCTCTACGATTGCGAAACGTGGACCCCCCCAATGGAGCATCTTCGCCGGTTAGAAACATTTAGACTGGCCTACCTACGATCCATCCTGGTTTTAACCAGGCTGGATTGTGTGAGGAGCTCACAAATCCTTGAAAGATCTGGGCAAAGTCCCATCGGTGAGCTCCTCCGGCAAGCAAGCTTGCATTGGATGGGTCATGTAGCCCGCATGCCCAGCCACCGCATGCCCAAACAGCTTTTGTTCGGCCGGATCGAGGGGACTAAACGGGCGTGGCACGGGCTAGAGAAGAGATGGAATGATGTGGTACAGGAGGACGTGGAGCTGAGTGGACTTGCCGATGACCGGTACCAGCGGTGTCAAGATCGTCCTCTGTGGAGGAGGCTCGTGAAGGACGCTACTGGACAGTTGGAGGCAGTCGCCCTCCAACAACAACGGAGGGCGGAGGAGCGACGCTCACAACAACGAGCGGAGCGCCGGGTGGCTAAAGCACATCAAGTTGCCACAGTAGGGGGCACAGGTGGTGCATCAGCCAGTCATCTCGGTCATCTCAGTCAGTCGACCCGTGGCACCTGCTGGGTCTGCCCCGTGACCTCCTGCCAGCAGGCGTTCGACACTTCACGTGGCCTCAAGGTGCACATAGCCTGGCACAAGCGTCGTGGTGACGTCACCACCACTTAATGGCGAATGGCGGGTGTTGTTGTGTGTGTGTGAGTGTGTGAGTGTGGTGAGCGGAGAGCGGTGGCGCAGCGGTTAGCGCTGTGCTCCGAGCCCGGGAGAAACCCGAGTTCGATTCCAGCTCATGGACAACACCACCAACAGGAGTGACGATTGTCCGACCCCGGTCTTGGGGAATCCCCTAGGTCAACTTAGCCTCAAATAGAGACCCAGACACAGAGAGAACCATAGACTCACACAGAGACCTGTAAACGTCACCGCTGGGGAGACAAAGGCGGCCGGGCAGGCGTGATGCTGGCCACCCACCCCCTTGCGTGCCGTGCCGGCCTTAGTAGGTGCTGCTACTCACTACTAACAGTCTTTGAAGGCTGTGCGAGCGATGTTTGTCTTTGTGTGTGACAACGAGGAGTTGTGATTGGGCATGTACGGCCCTGTAAGTCGAACGAACAGGAACATCGATTCCTTTGGGGTATTCAAGGAATCTGTTTGCAATCTGCAAACGTTTTTTACAAATCAGCTGATCGTGACATTTCCTATTCTCTGTGTCCGTCAAGGCGCCTGAGAACGTGCGCGTGTTTTGTCATGCCCGCTCCACAGTACGTCACACGGAGTGACTATTCACAAACTCAATAGACTCAGCACTGCCCATAGATTTCTATTTAAAGCTTTCGTGACTGCAGGGATTCATCTTCTTGGTTCTTTCGGTAAAGTCACGTAAAAGGGAAATAATAAAATAAAAATAAAACACGATAAAAATAAAATTCTCACGACGTTTCGGCCACAACGCAAGCAGCCGTCCTCAGTTGAAGAACAGGGCTGTCGTCCTTCGGATGCTAGCTTTTCGACAGCCCTGTTCTTCACCTGAGGACGGCTGCTTGCGTTGTGGCCGAAACGTCGTGAGAATTGTATTTTACTATGTTTAATTTTTATTATTTTATTATTTCCCTTCTACGTGACTTTACCGAAAAAACCAAGAAGATGAATTCCTGCAGTCACGAAAGCTTTAAGTCAAGATTTAAACTCTACACTGCCCATAGACTCAGCACGGTCAATATATTTAAAATCAGTTCAAAGACAAAGATCCCACCTGTATAGCCTCAAAGGACTTTTGGGGCATGTGAAGTTATCGAGTAGCACCTATGAAGGCCGGCACACACCTTTGAAAAAAGAAGAAACGCGAAACAATGTTTTGTATTGTACCAGTTAAAGCTCCCTGAGCTAATTAGCTCCTTTTTAGAAGCGAGGCTGGGTCATCACTAATCATAGCAGCCTCATGGAACCTCCTTTGCCAGTAGCAAAATATGAAAACACATTTTTTTACCCTTTTATCTGGCAACAAAACTGACACTTTTTTTTCTGGTCCAACACCATGTGAGACTAGGCTCTAAGAAAAGCTGTCTCGGGTGTGGGCCAATCAACTTCAAGGACAGTGCATATCATTATCAGAGTTATGTTTTTTGTTTGCATTACGACTGCAGGTAGTGTGGTCTATGCAAACATGACTCCTTGTAAAAAGTCAGTTTTGTTGCCAGCTAAAAGGGTAAAAAACCAATTATCATAATCATAGCAGCTCAACCACGTGACTGATATCATCATCATCACGGGGACATTGATAGCAGCAGACAAAGACTCTGGATGTATAGACACGCATAGAGACCCACACTCAGACCCAAACAGACCCACAGAGACCTATACTCAGAATAGAGACCCATAGAGACCCATAGAGTCCCATAGAGACCCACACTACAACTAAACTAAGTTTATGTCACCAGGTTTAAGACCCCACTGAGCTGCTGTGTAGATATTGTATCAGAAGCGACGTGGCCATCACTAATGATAGCAACTCAGCCGAGTTGCTGATATCATCATCATCATCATCACGTGACTGATATCATCATAATCATCACCACGTGGACATTGATAGCAGCAGACAAAGACACTGAACTCGTAGTGACGTAGATTCTAAATGCGAGAGGGGAAAACCGGAGGACTTAGAGTGAAAAATCCACGCAGCGACCACCACGGGGAGAGAGAGGCAGACTCCAAATACACAGCAGCAGCAGCAGCGTCGCCAGGGTCTGGGATCGAACCCACGGCCTCCTGCAGACCAGGCGAGGGAGACGACTTCTCCTCGCCACCTGCGTGTGGCCGCTGTCTGTTTGTGTCTCGTGACTTGCGCAAGAGAGACTCGACATCGCTATATTGGTTTTGGGGTTCCCCCCCCCCCCACACTTCCTCATGAGATTTACTGACAAATACACGCGTCACTACTATAGCGTGCTTGGCTGCCTGGCTTCATGGCTATGCTGGAATGTAAAACGTCATCTCTGCATCTTAGAACAACAACAAACAACAATCAGACGTCGTGCGTTGACAGTGTTTCCCAGTGGGTGCGATGTGCGAGACCTTCACAATGGCTGCGTCACGAACACGCTGAGTCAGCTCAGATCCTCGGTTCACGACCTGCGTCTGAGCGTCTCTCACCTTTGGAGGTTCACAATGGCCTTGAACGAAGTTCATCAAAGACAAAGACCCCCCGCGTAGCCTCAACAGACTTAATTCTAGATTTGAAGCTTTCGTGACTGCAAGGATTCATACTCTTAGTTCTTTCGGTAAAGTCACCAAGTAGGTAAAAAAATTGAAATTAAAATAAAATTAAAATTTTTTTTTTACCTACGTGACTTTACCGAAAGAACTAAGAGTATGAATCCTCAACAGACTGTTGGGGCAAGTGCTGTTAGCGAGCAGCACCGATGAAGGCCGGCACGGCACACGAGGGGTTGAGTGGCCAGCACCACGCCCGGCCGCCTTTGTCTCCCCAGTGGCGATGTTTACATATAGCACAAGGTACTCATTTGAGGCTGAGTCGACCTAGAGGAGGCCCAGGACCGGTTCAGATAATCGTCACCGGTGTCGGCCGTGAGTGGGAATCGAACCCAGGTCACCAGGTGTGTAGCGCAGCATAGAGCTAATCACTACACTACTGCTCCCCACATTCCCACACACATAAACACACACATACACGGTCAATACAACAGGCGTCAGGGTTGGGATCGAAACCACGACCTCCTGTATACCAGGCGAGGGAGTTAACATCTCATCATGGTCGGGATCGAACCCACGACCTCGTATATACCAGGCGAGGTAGTTAACATCTCATCATGGTCTGGATCGAACCCACCTCCTGTATACCAGGCGAGGTAGTTAACATCTCCTCGCCACAGTGGCGCCCCTAATGCGACCATCATCAGTGTAACGTTCTTACCCGGTGGCCCTACTGGATCTGTGAAATTTAGCGTCATAGCTCATCGGATTCCTCCAGTATCAATAAATACATTCTGATTCTGAGATTCTGATTTATCAACAGGAACGGTGGTCGCTGGCAGCACGGAGGTTGAGAATGGCTCGGAGTCCGGAGCTCAGCGCCAAGGAAGAACACCACGAGGTGAGTTCAATAGCAGGTGGTGGTCAACTCGAATTCATCACCACCACCATCGCCATCATGACCACAACCACCATCATCACAACCATCACCACCATCATCGTCACCACCAACACAATCATCACCACCATCTTCATCATTGTCACCACCACGATCATCACCACAACCACCATCATCACCACCATCACAATCACCGCCATCATCATCACAACCACCATCATCACCACCATCATCGTCACCACCAACATCATCACCACCAACATTATCATCACCATCGTCGTCATCACCACCACTAGTTAACTATTAACTGGGCAGTGACAAGAGCTAGAGAGCACCTGGAAACGAATGATGAATAAATAACAATCAATAGAAGCTAATTTAGTGATCTTCTAACACAAGTAATGCTCAAGCAAGAATCGTAGTAGCATTAAATAACCGTTTCATTTTTCATAAAAGTAATCCATTATTTAACTACAAAACGAGACATTTAACGAATCGTTACGAGGGGACAAGCTGGTTAATAAGTAATATAAAAAAAAACTTTTAAAAAAACACACTTTTATGAAATGTTCTAGTAATGGAAGAACTCCACGACTCCAGGAAGTGGCCCCGAAGCTTGCCATAACGTAAGGGACTGTGGCCAATTACAGCCAACGTCAGTTGATCGTGGAAAATTAGATCCAAGCCGAAACATAACATGGGTACTGCAAGATAAGGTCGCACTTATTACAGAAAAAGTTCTTGCCAAAAATAACCCACAGTACCGCCTTTCGAGATCGTCAAGGAGTATAAACCATCATCACGCGATCTCTGGTTATCCTCCCCGCGGCTTTTGGCTCGGCATCGGTCACTGCATCGCGTGCTTTCGGATGCGCTTCTGCGACCGTCTGGAACGCTCTTTTTTCTGATATCAGGAGACTACTGAGCTGTGCACTTTTACATCATCTGAATTGAGAAACTAATTTCTTTATAAATGCTTTCTTGTGTTTACTTTGTTGTTTGCTCGCACCTCCGATTAGCACGGTTGGCTACGTATGGTGCTAAAGAGGTTCAACACACACACATGGACCAGAGGTCACTTCATGGGACGTCAGAGGTAGTTGTGTGACATCTACTTCTGTGGGCCATACTCTTAACACGAAAGGTTGCGCTGCACTTTGAGGGATCCAATGGATTCTGCATCTGATGACATGTTGCCACTATAAGGATTATAAATATCTGGGTTCAACTCTTGGCTATAAATCTGATCAACACCGATGTCCAATTGCCATCAGAACGTGATATAGCTGCTCACCCCGAGCTACAAACGCTCTGATACGTTCATTGTCTTTGTACTGTTCGCCTTTAGGCATTCTCTGGTCTGACACAGCTGGTGAGACTAGGCCATAAAGAAGTCTGTCCTATGGTGTAGAACAATCAGTTTCAAAGACAATTCATATCTTATTAGAGCCACGTCTATTTGCATGTTCACCACGAGTACTGTGCATGGACAATGTGACACTTAATGTCTTGAAAAAGGTTTCTATTCGGCGTTTCAACATCTTAACACACCTCCTGTTTATTGTCAGAAAGGGTAAACCCTATTCTCATTTTCCATACGAGATGTACTAAAGTGGGCGCTGTTTGTTGTTGTTTCCCTAGAATTTATGGTCGTCACCCCAGAGAAAATGAATGCCGTAGCAGGCAGAAAGATTCTCCTGCCCTGCTCCTACACCTGTACAATCAGCGGTGTTACCCACACGCTGGTGGAGTGGTTCAGGAAGAATGGAAGTGAAGAAGAGAGGGTGAGTTACAAATCTCTCTATCTTAGCAAGACGTCTAAATGCAGAAAAACCTTGCCTAATGCGGCTTTTTCGAACTTGTCTTTGGCTCTACACGGTTTTTCGGAACACGGGTGGGTGATCCATAATACAGGTTTGTTTTGGGTTAGATCGTTTGTCTGTCCATTTGATCCATCAACAAAACTATAAGAGCCTTTCAGAAGTCCAGAATCAAAAAGTTACAGAAAGTGGGAGTAAAAAGTTGATCTAAATTGTTTCCAAAAATTGTTGACTCTCCCTCCCCAATTTAGTTTTACCCCTTCCCCCACACAATTTTATTTGTTTATTTTGTAGGCATATATACTTACACACCCTACACACAATTGCATCAGTAGTATCAAGTGATGTTAATTCTAGGCCTATACAAAGGTAGCCAGTTGTGACAGGTAGGTGGATGATCCCTATCCCCGTCTCAAAATATTCCCTCCCAGGGTTATATTGATATATATTGATACATTTTGGTATGTTGTATCTATGCCCTGTTTTCCGTTATTAATATTAATAATAATTAGGCAAAAAAAAAGTTTTTTTTTAATATCTATATATATTTTTAAATTAAATAATGAAACAACCCACTACTCCTCACAAGCACACCAGGAATCTATGAAACGTGGAGGGCCATTAAACGGTAAGAATTCGGGCACAGAGGTCAGAGACATCCAGATGGACAAAAGGTCGATGGCCTAACCTCCCAAGACGTCTTCTTGGTTCTTTCGGTAAAGTCACGTAGAAGGGAAGTAATAAAATAATAAAAATAAAACATAATAAAATAATTCTCACGACGTTTCGGCTACAACGCAAGCAGCCGTCTTCAGGTGAAGAATGAGACACTGCCAAGCTTGGAGCTTATATATAAGCTGGATTGGAGGTGGAAGAAGAGCGCCTTAACAAAAGAATGTGCACACCAAGAGGAACCCAGCATATTCATGGGAAATGCGTAGGAGGTGGGCGGGGGGGGGGTTTCAAAGTCATATTATGCCCATGCATTATGTAGGATTAGCAGCATCAAAGGGAGGGGGTAGGGGGTAGCATTAACAAAGGGAGGGAATGTTAATAGTATGTATATGGACGACGGTGTGGACGCGGTGCATTCTTTTGGCCCCGCCCCCCCTCCCCCTCCCGATGCGTTGTATAGCAGCAACCGCGTCCACGCCGTCGTGCATTCTTTTGGCCCCGCCCCCCTCCCTCCCGATACGTTCCATTCATTGGCTACCACATTCTGATGAGCTCCCCCCCCCTCTCCTTCCCCTCAACTTGCTTTTAAGGGATTACATCTTGAATCATTGCCTCACTTGATGCAGCAAATCCGGCTGTGACGGTCCCACCTGATGACGGAGACTTGTGTTGCCTCCGAAACGTCGTGATTTTTGTTTTATTTTATTTTTATTAATTTTGATGTTTTACCTACATGACTTTACCGAAAAAACCTAAGAATATGAATCCTTGCAGTCACGAAAGCTTCAAATCTAGAAAGGGTACTGTATGTCTGGAACCACGTCTTTTACAGACGGGACCAGATCACGGATTTTATGTACTGTGTTGAATCGGACCTGAATCTTGTGTTTAATCAGGATTTTGGAGATCTTTTTTGTGACTCCAGCAATGTAGGGTAAGGTGATGGTTTTGAAAGGCTCCTCAACAGGATCTTTCTTGATGGTTGGAGTGATGGCTTTTCGGATTGTGTAGTCGGAGTAACCATTAGCCTTAAGAGCTTTGCGTACGTGTTTGAGTTCACTGGCAATGTGTTCCTGGTCGGAGATGCATTGGGCTCTATGGTATAGAGTCTTGATGAGGGAGTTCTTCTGGGATGGATGGTGGTGGGAATCCGGTTTTAGGTAGGCATCCGTATGGGTGGCTTTCCTGTGGACAGAATGGCTCATTGAACCATCAGGTCTCCTTTTAATTAGGACATCCAAAAAGGGTAGCTTGCCGTCTGGAGATGCACGGATAAGGTGCAGAGCAAAGAAAAACAACTGTTGCAACTCGCGTTTTCTTTAACATTTTCCTTAACGAAAAGTAGAAACTTAACAAAAAGAATTAACCAGCAAACAATAGGGGCTTGTTATTAGATATTCCCTTATATTACTCGTATTCACCGTATATATATTATTTTGTATTGTATGTTTCTATCTACATGACCTTACCAAAAACTAAAAAATACGAATTCCAGAAAGCTTAAGTGGAAACTTAGTTACACTTAACCTCAGGACATTAAAATATAACTCAGAATAAAACACCAATCCCTGGAAACAAACGCATAACCAAACTTGGCAAAGCCTTCAAAATAATGATGTAACGAGGATCATTACGAATATTCATTAAACATAGACCGAATAATAACCACGATATACTAAGACCGAGGGAACTCATAAGAAATATCAAGAATAAATGTAACACACAGGACCACATAAATGTATTGCAAAAATCTGCTCGGACACCTTTGTCTTCCAACGATTTGGCACAAACACATACCAGCCTGAATACGTATTGGGGGTCTGGCCTCGGAATGACCCACTCAGAGGGAGGAGGGGTCAAAGGGTCGTGAGGGGGGGGGGGTCTGTGCTGGCATAGCTGGGACGTCTGTTTTTCGGTTGTTGTTTCTCTCGCAAGAGATGCGCAGAGGAGAGGGTGTTCACGTTTTGAGTTTAAGCACAAGCGCACATCACGAATGAGCAGTCTGGTTCGAGTCGTGCTCAGTCTTGCAACTCGGCTTGCGATGCGGCGTTGCGACGGGGCTCGCAAGGGAGCTGTGGCAGAGCGTGCCTCGAGGAGAGATGGGACGACAAGGGGTCGTTAGAGTGACAGTCTGAGTGCAGTCTGGTTCGAGTCGCGCTCATTCTCGCAACTCGACTTGCGACACAGCGTTGCGACGGGGCTCGCAAGGGAGCTGGGGCGAGTCGTGCCTCGAGAAGAGATGGAACGAGGAGGGGTCATTCGAGTCGCAGAAGTCTGAGTTCAACCTGGGTCGAGGCTGGGTTTCAGCCGTGCTCCGGCTAGGGGAGTGTCGTGAGTGAGCAAACACCGATACCGATGGCAGGTGTCGCTTCTCGCAGAACGAAGTGACGAGGTGTGGTTAAGTGCGAGTGAAGCTGGCAGCTGCACGAACAAAGGAAAGCACGGAGAAGAGAGAGTGACAAGTGACAACAAGCAATCAACCTGTAGAAGGGCGGAAATCGCCAAGAGTCGACCAAGCGAGCATCGAAAAGGACGAGCAGCAGCGGATGAGCAACAAGAGCCATCGTTCATCGCCAGAGCGCTCCAAGCCGGTGAGCGCGCACAGCCGCGTCGTCCAGAGCCTGAGCCAACACAGCCTGAAGTAAGGGCGAGTGTCCGTGTGAAGTTGGCAGCGATCAAGGAGAGAGCGACGACGATATCATCGCGCACCGCCGAAGGCGAGCATCGTGCCGACTCAACAATCATCCAGCAGTGGAGAAGCCTGGAGCTGCCACCAAGAGAGAGAGAGCGCCTTCGAATGCGCCGTGTGTTTGATACACACACCGACCAACACCCAGTGAAAACAGACAAGACGTCCAGCAGCGACGACGGAATCATCGCGCACCACGTCGGCGAGCGTAGTGCCAACTCGTCGTCCAGCAGTGGAGAGTGAGAGCGCACGAGCAGAGACACGCCCGAGCGAGGGAGCAGCACGGGCTCGCTGCGGCCACGCCCAAGCGAGAGGAACCTCTGGCCGCTGGTTGTATACTATCCCACCCCACAAGCTCCGGCACAGCGCCCTGCCTCTACTTAAAATATTAATTATCAAGGGAACAATACAACGCACACACAACACGCACACGAATAAGACTTTAAAAAGGTTATCTTTGTGTTTCAAAAAGGGTTGCCATTTCAAGGTAGTGCGTTCAATATCAACTGATCGTGCAAAGCAGTTGCTGCCGTCGAGTTACATGAATAAGAAATGTTTTAGTCATTTATTTTCGTTAATTGCATAATCTTGCCGATGAATCTAATGACGTATACCTTTGCCTTTGCATCTTAGAGGTCATATGTTTGTTAAGAATAAAAATTGCTTAACACCAAGTGTTCGAGTGCTTCTTTCCCAGTCCATGCAAAACTGTCTTATTCATAAGAACTGTTACCTGCGATGAGATATGAAGTTGGAGACCTAACATAACATAAACACACTAAGATAATCAATAAATGTTGATCAAAGATAATCGTTTTATCTTGATTGATACAACTCTGGATAACGAAGCTAAGCCTAATTATCATAACTGCATACATTAACATAATCGCAAGCATCCGCATAAATTACTACGATTATCTCCGTGATTATCATAAATTATGCATATAATTACATACATTATCATAATTTATGTGATTTACGCATTTTTCAAAATGTTATTAATTTTTATCAAAATTTCATAATCCGGCATATACAACAGGTAGGCAATGCAATTAGCATGCATGTGTTGCTAGACTATTTGATATGTACAAAAACTAAACGTCACATGACATTGTGATGTCATAACATCCGTACATATGACCGCGAATGTATAGCTCGTATCCAGGTCTCGTGTATGTACGTTGAACTTCTTTCGCACGATACATAGCCAACCGTGCCAACTCTATATCTGACCATCTCCTGTATTTTGATTCCTGCAAAAGGCGTCCAACACGTGATAAAGACATTCTTATTCATTCCAGGTGTGAACTCTGGTTATCCTTAGAGGCTTTTGGCTGGCCATCGAACAAAGATGGTCACCGCATCGCGCGGTGTCACATGCGCTGCTGCGGCCATCTTGAACGCTCTGCCTTCCGATATTAGGAAGCCACTGGAGCTACGCACTTTTAAATCATCATCTAGATTAAAAACTCGTTTATTTTAAAACTGTTTGTGTTTAGTTTGTTGTCCTTTCCCGCACCTCCGATTAGCACGGTTGGCTATGTATTGTGCCAAAGAAGTTCAACATATATACAACATACATACATACAACATACATACAACATACATACATCTTTGACTTGTGCATGCTCTTGTTTTTGTTGACCACAGATTTATAAATTCCCCAATGGAAATAGCAGCTGCGGGCCTTTACATGCCACCTGGATGGGTGATTTGCCCAAATGCGACGCCTCCATCACCGTCAGTGACATCAAGACCCACGACTCTGATCGATATCGCTGTGAGGTCACGGTGTATCCACAAAATATCCAAGACATTGGGTATCTACAGCTGAATGTCAACAGTCCATCAGGTTTGTGTTATTTCCTTCAAACGTCTATATTACGACACACAACTCTATAATCTATCCTATAGACCTGATATAGAACTCAACATCTACACTTTAGTGCCATGGGCCCAGTGCCACGGTGAACTGGGTTCAACCCCTGGCTATGATCTCATCACCACCAATGTACATCAGAACCTTTGACATTTACGCAATCTTAAAACAACTTCGCATCGGAGGTTACTCAGAGCTCAGAATGCTCAGCTCGCACCACTCAGAAGCATGGGTTCAAGTCCAGACATTTACCTGCGAGTTAACCGAGTCCTAAAGTCGAGTGAGTTGATGGACTTAACCCCCCTTTCTGCAATTCTGTACTTAATTGACGAATTTAAAACTCTGAGAATTAAAACTCTGAGAATGCAAACGTATCTGGTTGATTGTCACGCGATAAGCGCTCTTCCATGTGGAAGAGAAATCTTGGGAAAGTCCTTCTCCCAACTGTGTGGACGAGCAGAGGTCGCTTGAAGGAATCTCAGAGTCAGCTCTGTGATATCCGCTCTGCGGACTGTTCTCTAGCAAGACACGTTGTCCTACTCTGTGAGTAATCCCAATTAATGTGTATATTAGTGACGGGACACGCGGATAACATTTGGCTTCATCTAACGCGTGTTTTGGCTCTAGACTGTTGTGGCTGATGAGTTTTATTTTCCACAACACGGGTGATATTTCGGTGATAAGCAGTTTGACGCAGCTAACATTTTGGTATCTAAACAAAAAAATTAGTGCCGTGAGAGTGCTACGTCTCTTGGAGTGTGTGAATCGACTGTGAGAACGATGTTTTTACCGTGTATGTCTGTGTACGTGTGGGTATGGTTTTTTTGTTTGATAATGTAATGCACTAAAAACGCGCAGCAGCAGCACAACGCAAATGTTCACACATTACAGTATGAATCTAGTTATTGAGAACGTTAGTCATACGGACGACTAGATGGTTAATCATTCATGTTTAAGTGACAATGTTAGTGGCGAGCGTAGGGTGTGAGTGCCGGGGTGCGGGAAGAATGGAGACGAGGTTTTTGTGTTGCGTTGAAATGGACAAAGTGTACACACACACACAAGACATCCGTTAGTACAATAACGTGGGTTGGCATCTTGTAGTATTAGTTAAACAAAGAGGGAAGGTGTGATCATTTCGAAGGCAGGAAGGCAACCCGAGTTTTCACACGAGGTCTGTTTTTTATCAAACAAAGTTTTGCCCAACATGGCATTCCAGGAACGTAACACCCCCGCGTTCGACGAGGTCTGCCTGTTCTGTACTTTTAAAACGCATTGTTACTGACAAATGTTTAGCGTTTATACATTTATATTAGATAAGAAAATACACTAACGTGGGCGTTGTGTGTGGTTTCCCTAGAACTCGTGGTTGTGACCCCGGATAAAATGGACGCCGTAGCAGGCACTACATTTCTGCTGCCCTGCGCCTACACCTGCACAATCAGCGGCGTTACCCACACGTTGGTGGAGTGGTTCAAGATCATAGACGGGCGAGAAGAGAGGGTGAGTTACTCCTCTGTCCGTTCTGTGCGCCACTTGCCGCTAAATTGCAGAAAGCACAGGCGTGGAATTGATCAGTCTTGTTAGTAAACCTGGTCACATGACCCTTGAGCATTTAAAATATCCAACGCAGATGAACAGGTTTGGTATTCATATTCTTAGTTCTCTGAGTAAAGTCATGTAAATAGAAAAAAAAATGAAAATACAATAAAAATAATAAATTTAAACAATTTAAAATAATGAAAGCAAAAAACCCACGACGTTTCGATCGCAACACAAGTGGTCTTCATCAGGCGGTTGAAGACCGCTTGTGTTGCGATCGAAACATCCAGGGGCAGAGCCAGGATTTTCAGGTAGAGGGGACAATCCCTCCAGCAATGAAAAATGATAGAAGAGTTGTTTGTAAGGACTTGTCCCTGAGCGCTTCTTCAGCCATCGATTTAGGGTCGAATTCGAACCGCGTGTGATCGGCATCGCGCTCGCTGAAGGTGTTGATGCCTTCAGGGAAGTCATGTACCATATACACAACTGTGCACAATTCTGTGAGTCACTTATAACCGCTTTTCCGTTACTTATTGCCAATTATGGACTCAGACTATCGTCCTATCATCTCATAGAGTCCCTGGCACGTAGTAATATGCTACACAGTGGCAGTGGGGGTCACAAAATGACGATTTATTACTAATAAACCCCAATGATCCGATCGAAATTAAGGATTTCGAATCATTCTCGGGTTTTATCTGAACGAATTTTATACTGAAATAATATAACGCATTTGATCTCTGTGTTGCTTTCACCTTTATTGACCACAGATTTATCAATACCCCGATGGAGAGAGCAGCCACTGGCCTTTACAGGCCACCTCGGTGGGTAATGTGTCAAAGTGCGACGCCTCCATCACCGTCAGCGACATCCAGACCCACGACTCTGGGCGATATCGATGTGAGGTCTCGGTGTATCCACAAAACAAGCAACACATTGGGTATCTACAGCTGATTGTCCACCCACGAACAGGTTTGTATCTCGTCCATCATAGGTCTGTCCTACCACCCACTACTCCCATCATCTGTCATGTAGCCCAGACCTACCACTCAATATCCACCCGACAAATCCACGTTTTGCTTTTCGTGTTTGGTTTGTTGTCCTTCCCCCGCACCTCCGTGTCTGGCTACGTACGGTGTGAAAACAGTTCAACACGAATATGTACATGTGACAAAACTGTGGACCTAGAACCATGGTCATCTCCTGCCTGTGACTCTTTACTTTCATTGTTCAATTAGCAAAAAATCCGGATGTCAAGTCTCATGAGTTTGTTATCTTTGCCTGGTCACCTGGGCACCCTTGTAAACAGATGTTCCTTCTCAACAGATTATCCAGGTGAAATTATTGAATAAATAAAACATTACTAACATTATATTTGGTTATCTGACAATGCACTTAATTTGGCTAATTCCAAGCTCTTAACAGTTAGACCAGGCAGAGCTCGTCTAATGTGGGGGTAACGTTCCTGGAAAATGGCGCGTTGGGCAAAACCGCGTTCGGCAAATAGACCTAACAAAAAAACTATGGTTGCTTTCCTGGGTCCGAAATCATCACCCCCTCCCTCTTTGTTTTATAAATTCTAAATAATGTTGGTGCTTGTTTTTGTTCTGAAGGATGCTGAGTTGCTCTCCTATTCTTCTGTGTGTGTGCAATCTTTAGTTTTCACAATCGCCTCAACACAAAACCTCCTTCTCCACTTATCTTCCCGTACCACGGCACTCACGCTTAACACTCGTACTTAACACTTTCAATTGAACGTTAAATGATTCACCATCTTGGCATTCGTATGACATTGTCATCAGTGAATAGATGGCTAGATGCATGTGGCAATATGTAAACATTTGCGTTGTACGTGTTGAGCGTGTTATGTTATCACACAAAAAACACAAATACACTAAAAATATTCGTGTAAATAAATAGTTCTCACAGTAGATTCATTCACACCTTCCAACGGATGCAGCACCCTTTGAAACATAGATGATAATCTTAGCGTTAAACCATGCAGAGCTGAACCACCACCCCCATGTTCTGGAAACCGACCCAAATCAGGTAACCGGTGTAGTGCCGAAAAATTCAACAAAGCTGCATTGGGCAGGTTTGTCTGTATGTCTGGTTTGAGTGTCATGCAACAAACATTACAAACATTTCTAGATAACTAGTTACGCGGTCTCACCCCCAAAAAACTATATTATGGATGACGTGTTAAACATTACTCGATTTTGCAATGCATTATCGGAAAATAATCCTCCCTGCTCCAATGTCACTTAAACTAAACTATTTTTATTTTACCTCGTAAGGCCCACTGAGCTATGCGGCTTTTTTCAGACGTGACAAATGATAGCTCAGCTCAAGGAAGTGGCTAATCATACGGACATTTATTGCAGCCACATACTCTTACCAGATCTTTCTATATATGGAAGGGAAATCCAGGGGACCCGGAGAAAAATCCACGTGACCACGGGGAGAGTAAACACGCAAACTCCAAACACACAGCAGCAGGTGTCAGGGTCGGGCTCGAACCTACGACCCATGTCTACCAGGCGAGGTAGTTAACATCTCACCACCTCGGCTCCACTTGAAGGGACCTCAGAGGTAGCTCTAAGATATCCCCTTCTGTGGACCATTCTCTAACATGCAGCATTGCACTGCTCTGCTAGAGACCTAAAGAGATGCTTCGTCTAACGGAAAGTATTTGCCCGCTTTCTCTGTCCTACTTGTCACCACTGCGTTGTGAGACCAGCACCTCCTCCTCCTCCAGAGGTTTTTTCCCACTGCTCATGTGACCATCGTGGGTTTGTCCACAGACCTGGCTGTTGTCATCCCGGATGCAAAGGACGCCACTGTAGGCAGCACGGCTCTCCTGCCCTGCTCTTACACCTGCAACATCACGGACATTAGACACACGCTGGTGGAGTGGTTCAGGACCATAGACGGACACGATGAGAAGGTGCGTCACTGTCACACTTGCACACTATTACTTACACCCTACTGCTCACAGTGATGAGTAAATGTTCTTTTCGATTTAAAGCTTTCGTGACTGCAGGGATCCATCTTCTTGGTTCTTTAGGTAAAGTCACGTAGAAGGGAAGCAATAAAACAATAAAAATAAAACATAATAATTATTTTATTTTATTATGTTTTATTTTTATTGTTTTATTGCTTCCCTTCTACGTGACTTTACCGAAAGAACCAAGAAGATAAATGTTCTTTATTAACGCCATTCATGCTAATTTATTTCAATGGAGGTCACCCCCTCTCCTTTTCTGGTCCCACTGTCAACTTTAAAGTTTTTCAGACAGCCGTATAGTGTTGTATCTTCAACTAGAATAATCTCAAATTCTCTCCGTTCTCTCTACTCTGAAGAAGAAGCATTTCCTAAGTGTATTATATATTTATCTGTTACAACTCAATTTTTTTTACATATTGTCAGTTTTCGGAATATGAGCACGTGTATTATGTGGACACACAGTCATGCCCTGGTGTGCTCTCACGTTTGCTGTCAAGGTTTATAAGATCATATACAGAAAGAGGAGCCTCAGGCCATTGCAGGTGACGTGGGTGGGAAATGATTCCACGTGTGACGCCTCCATCACCATCAGCAACATCCAGACCCACGACGCTGGACGATATCGCTGTGAGGTCACGATTTATCGATACGACAAGCCAAGCATGCAAGACATCGGGTATCTGCAGCTGAACGTTCACAATGAATCAGGTTTGCATTATGTCCTCCCTTGATCTATTTAACACCCACTGCTTTATCACTCGCTAAGCGAGAATGCAAATTCTATCTATTATCCAGATTTACCACTAAAATTCACTCTGTGGCACAGCCATAAAGGGTCTTTGTTATTCCTCACAGATATCACATCCTGTAGTATAAGAAACTCGACTCTTTGTTGAGTTGTCTACATGAGCCAATGGCAGCTTGACTTCCTGTCTGTGTCCCATGACATTGTTGTCCACTTGTGGGATGTGGAATGCTTCGATGTCAGAAAAAAGAGCTTCTTAGCTCAGGAGGCTTTTCTCAGGAAATAAGTTCCTGATTCGGATTCACTTCAAGTGCCGATGTGGGAGCTGCAAGGCGATTTACGGTGTCAACAGGAAACCGGCACAGCAATGATTGACCTCTCCTGCTGTCTGTCCATGACTCCGTTTGGCGTCATTGCCTGCTGCTGAAGTTGGCCCCAAAACTCATAAAAAGCTGTTCTACCATTCAGCTAATGAACATGATGCTGGGCAACCGTGCGTTGAGGGTGAACACCTCACCGGTGAACACAGCCGCAAGAGAATCATGAACAATGGCCTCCATCTCGGCTCAGTTATTACAGCACCGTCACTATTTAACATTCACAGGCAGGCCTCGCCGGACGCGGGGGGGGTTACATTCCTAGAAAATGACGTGTTAGGCAGAACCGCGTTCGACAGATAATAGACATTGTGGGAAAACTTGGGTTGCCTTCTTGGGCCCGAAATGATCACCCCTCACTCTGTGTTACTAATTCTACAAGATTACTGCCCTTGTTTTTGGACTAAGGGATGCTGAGTTACGCTCCATTTCTTGCGTGTGTACGTCCAATACTCTCACCTAACAATGAATTCCCAGCCCCACGCTTGCCCCCGACTCTGTCGCCGATTCGCCATCTCGGCGGCCGTCTAAAGTCCTCAAAGACTGGACAGCGAGATGCTTGCTGCACTGTGTGAACATTCCCATTGCATCGCTGGGCATGTCGAGTGTGTTACTTTGTCACAGGAAAGACTCTCAAAAACACACACAAACTAAAAGATGCGTGGTAATTAAATGGTTCTTACAGTGGATTAATTCACACCTTCCAATGGATGCAGCACCCTCACGACACTACTTTTCGACAAGGAGATGAGTGTCTCAGCAGCGTAAGGCTGAAACATCACCCCCGTGTTGTGGAAAACAGGCCTCATTAGGTGTATCGTGTAGAGCCAGAACGCGCGTTCAATAAAGCCACAGCGCATCTGCTCCTCCTGAAAACCAGGAGGAGCAGAGACGCTGTGCAGCACAGAAACGAGGATGGTGCGATGGATCTCAGCGATCACAGGACTGGATCTGTCAGAACTGAAGAGCTGGGGAAGGAGGCGGGAGTGGCGGTGCTCATCTCACTCGAGCGGAGAGAGGGAGTCGGCTCACACAGCTGGGGCTGCCTTAGCAATAGAGGGGGCAACCGCGAGGGCGATGAACGTGGAGGCACCAGGGCGGAGACAGAGGGGCAGGCCGAGAGCGAGGGGAGTAGAAGTGGCGAACGCGGCAAATTTGAGGGACTGGGGAGTCGACGCGGAGGTGGCCCATGGCAGCAACGAGCAGAGCAGGAGGAGCTGCAGGGCAGAGACCGCACGAGAGGAGGGGGACATGGCAGGAAGAGGAAGAAGACGTTGACTGCGTCCATCTCTTGGGTGTTCACGTGTTGCTGTGTCGTCTGTGTTTGTGTTTAATAGAACCGACAGATGCAACACCCACGCCAACCCCAGCTCCAGCACCTGTAGCTGGCATCGTCCTTGGAGTTATCGTTCCTCTGGTTGCTGTTCTGGTTGCTGTTGCTGGAGTTGTTTTTTTCTGCAGGAGATCACGTCAGCCAAGAGAAGCAGAAGTCCCGTGAGTATCGACCGCACTTGCACCAGAACCGCACAGTGAGTGATAGAACACGGCTCACAATGGCTACGTCAGAAACCATGAGCCGGCCCTCTTCAAGGGCCTGAGTTTGACTCCAGCTCCCTGCCTGCCCGTGACTCAGAGCTGTGCTCAGTGGAGCCTGCGTGAGCTCCTGGCCTTTGATACAGTCGAAGCCATTGATACAGTCGAAGCCTTTGATACAGTCGACCACAACACCCTGCTTAGTAAACTAAGTTGCCTCCGTTTCTCCAAACACGCAGTAGAATGGTTAAAAAATTACCTCTTTTTTCCCACCCAAACTGTACTCACAGATGGTTGGAGGTCAAACAGTGTTAAGATAACAAAAGGGGTTCCACAGGGTTCAATCCTAGGCCCCCTCTTGTTCTCTCTTTATGTCAATGAATTGGGCACTGACCTGAAACATTCCAGGGTAAATCTGTTTGCAGATGACACGATACTGATTACTGCTGGCCGCTCTCTGGATGACGTGATTGCTAAGCTCCAGGGTGAATTCAACAAACTACAACATCAGCTGGTTGCTCTTAAACTATTCCTGAATACCTCCAAATCCAAGGTGATATGCTTCTCACCAGGACTAAAGCAGGAAGTTATTTTCCCCAATTACATTCCTTAAATAATTATCAAATAGAGCAAGTCAAGATCTATAAGTATCTTGGGGTCATTCTTGATTCAAAACTGAAATTTGAAGAACACATTGATTATATTGGTAAAAAGACAAAAAAATTGGTTTTCTGTATCGACACAAGCACTGCTTCCCCCTATGTTCCGTTTGGAATTGATAAAAGCTACCATACTGCCTCTACTTGATTACTGTGACATCGTGTATAAATCATCCCCAAGTACTGTACTGAAGAAGCTTGACTCAATGTATCACTCGGCCTTAAGATTTGCATTGAACTGCCCATATAGGACTCACCACTGTGATCTCTACATTGGGTCAAACTTAACATCTCTCAATGTTCGACGGCTTGTGCATCAGATCTTATTTATTCATGATGTACTTACAAAAAAAATCCGCAGATTACCTGCTGGGTCTCCTCTCTGTTTCAAAGAACAAATTTGACCTCGGGTTTTCGCTCATTTACCAGCTTCACATTCCCTATTTCCGTACAAATACTGGAAGGGCCTTTGCTATTGATGCCCCCAGGGTCTGGAATGCTATTGCCAATAAACTGCAACTTGAATCACTACCTATGAGATCTTCACTCAAAACTGCTCTAGAGGAGTTGTACACCCCTAGCTGCCACTGCAAGTTAGTGGCCTAAAATACAATGTTTCGCTCCGGATGATCGGTGCAAAGTATGATCTGTGTTTTAATTAAAGGTGCATTGAAAAATGTTGATACTCCGACTGATGCTCCTACTGTTGTGGAGTGACTCATGCAGCCAGCTATGGCTGCAGAGTTCGGTAGTACATGTTGTTTACGTCGTTTATTGTGAAAATTCGGTCACAGTTCCTATGGCCACTGTTTCATTGCTTTTATGGCTTTATTTTGGTGATTTTCGCAAAGTTTTTTGGTTTGGCCATGTTTGTTTGTTGTAGTACAGAGTTAGACTGATGGCCTTAATCTAAATTGTCTTGTGGTTGTTGTTGTTTGACTTGCATCCCACTGGGATTTTTGCACACAGTGTTGGTGTACGGTGTTTTTTTTTTGCAATATTTTGCTGTCTTTTCTTGGATTTTCTGTTTGCACATAGTCACTATAAGGTGTATTCTTGTTCATGTTTTTGTTTTTTCTTTTTCGCGGATGCACCCGATTCAAGAGCAGAATGGCTCACAGGGCTATACCTAATAAATGAACTTGAAGCTGGGACTCCTGAGTTAGACTCCCAGCCGTGGCTGCTGTCAGTGACAGGCGCTCCATATGAGTGGGGGTGGTGATGTGAGACTGCGTCAGTCATAGGAGATGGTGAACTCAATGGGCTCTCACGTGGTTAAATAAAATACATCAATCACAAGAGACAATAGTCTCAATGGACTCTCACCTGGTTAAACAAAGGATGTATATCAAGTCAGGGTCAGTGATTGCCGTGGTCAGTGGTTCCATGCAGAGGTGGGACAAAGTCATTGTTATGCAAGTCCAAGTCGAGTCTGAAGTCATCAAATTCATGACTCGAGTCTGACTCGAGTCCAAGTCACATGACTCGAGTCCACACCTCTGGTTCCATGCGGGTGCCAGGCAGGTGTGAGACGTGGGTTAGACTCCCAGCCGTGCCAGTGACACAGGCTGCATGTGGGCGAGGGTGGGGATGTGTGAACAACGCGTGTCCACTTCTCTCTCAACAGGCCTCATGAAAGGCAGCCAATGCACCCAATTGGATAAGATGCAGGAGCAAGATCAGGTGAGAGCGAGAGAGGCAGGAAGCAGGATCCACTCTTATCAGGGTCATTCTTTCTGTGTTTGTGTGCACTGCGCTAAGAACCAGCGACCTGGCTTTAATTCCCTAACCTCGCTGCGTTGTGTAAACGCCAGCACTGCTGAGACAAAGGCGGCCAGGCGTGGTGCTGGCCACATCACCCTCTCGAGATGTTACTCGCTAGCAGCGATCACAGGACTGGATCGGTCGGAACTGAAGAGTTGGGGACGGAGTCGGGAGTGGCGGTGCTCATCTCACTCGAGCAGAGAGAGGGAGTCGGCTCACACGGCTGGGGTTGCCTTAGTAGAGGAGGGGGCAACCGCGAGGGCGATGAACGTGGAGGCACCAGGCAGAGGTCGCAAACGGGTTTTGATTCCTTACCCGTACCCGGCCGCACCAGGGTCGCTAACGGGTATCGGGTACCTGATTGCGACCTCTGGGATGAAGCCATGTTGCAGGCGCAGGTGGGTTGACTCTAGGAACTTGAATTGTGAGAAGAGACAAGACGTTACTCACCAGTGACTCACGGACGACCCGTACTGGGTACGGGTATCGGGTACCCGGTTGCGACCTCTGCTGGGGAGTAGACGCGGAGGTGGCCCAAGGCGACAACGAGCAGAGCAGGAGGAGCTGCAGGGCAGAGACCGCACGAAAGGAGGGGGACATGGCAGGAAGAGGAAGAAGACGTTGACTGCGTGCATCTCTTGGGTGTTCACGTGTTTCTGTGTCGTCTGTGTTTGTGTTTAATAGAACCGACAGACGCAACGCCCAAGCCAAGTCCAACTCCAGCTCACCTGTAGTTTGGATCGTCCTTGGAGTCATTGCTGCTCTGGGTGCTGTTGCTGGAGTTGTTTTTTTACTGCTGGAAAAATATTTACAAGTTGATTCCTCATACTGTGATATAACGCCGATAGGTGAATTATATACTGTTAAAAAAAGTGTATTTTTACATTCGAGTACAGCAAACTCCTCCCTCTCGCGGGTTTAGCTATCGCGGTTTTGCCGTTTCGTACCCAAGGCTATTGAGCTACAGAGTTCGCCGATCTTACCGCTGTGGCTGGACCATTCGCGGTTGATCACGAGATTTCTGTACGCGTCGTAACTGCACTGCTCGCGATGATGCTGCTGCTGCCGTGGAAGAACACACGCGATGCCATCTTATCTCCGTTTTATCTCCATCTTGTCTCTGTCTTGTTTCCATCTTTTCTCTGTCTTGTTTCCATCTTGTCTCTGTCTTGTTTCCATCAAATCTCTTTCATATCTTACTCTTAGTTCTTTCGGTAAAGTCACGTAGGTAAAAAATGAAATTAAAATTAATAAAACAATAAAAATCACGACGTTTCGGAGGCAACACAAGCCTCCGTCTTCAGGTGAAACCGTCACAGCAAAATATCTGTACCTTTTTGATTTAAAGCTTTCGTGACTGCAGGGATTCATCTTCTTGGTTCTTTCGGTAAAGTCACGTAGAAGGGAAGTAATAAAATAATAAAAATAAAACATTATAATATAATATATTATGTTTTATTTTTATTATTTTATTACTTCATTTCTACGTGACTTTATCTGTACCTTATAATGTGGTTAAGGGGGGAGGAGCCAGGAAGGGCAGCGGGGGAGGAGGAGTTGTGAAGTGGTCAATTACTGCTTTAGTTATACTGCTGGGTGGGTAAATGAATTAGATACGATTAAGCCGCTCACTCTTTCATATCTCCCATCTTTCTGTCTTGTCTCCGCCTTGTTTCCATCTTGTCTCCATCTTGTCTCCCGTCTCTTCTCTCAAGCGGCCCATTGGGGGTCCCGGGTCACGTGGTGTTTCCAGCCTCGAGCGAGGAGGCAGTGAGGTGCAGCCGCCCGCCATTTTGTCTTCTATCGCCCGCCATTTTGTCTTCTATCGCCCGCCATTTTGTCTTCTATCGCCCGCCATTTTGTCTTCTATCGCCCGCCATTTTATCTTCTATCGAGTTTGGGGAAGGCAAATTTTCCGATTGCGGCTTTTTACCAAGAACGTAACCCCGGCGATGGGCAAGAGTTTGCTGTATATGCTACTTGCTAAATCAATGCACTTGTATTCTATTTTTGTAAGGCATAATGCACTTTATATACATTTTGTATGCGCAAATTTAGTATATATTGAATTTGATTCGAAGATTATATGTATTGCTCGCCGAATTATTGATCTCTTCCATGATTATTGCAATTAGAGGCCATGTACGAGTATATATTTAAAATCGTAACGATTGAGTGTTACTCTGGAAAAAATCTTGATAACTCACACGCCCTCCGTAGATGTTTTTCCGCAAAACCCAACAACGTAAATTCCAAAGCCAACACAACGATGTTGAGTTGTTTTGGGGTTAATGGAAAGAATGTTCACATAGAGCCCATAAACAAGCACGTGTCATTGTGATGGCAACAATTACAACTGACCTCTTGCCAGGAAATGCAGGCATACCACTTAGAGCAACTCTGTTTACCAAGAACGCATCTTGAGCGCTATATGAGGTATGCTTGTATAAAGCAGTCCCTAAGGTTAACGTTTTGCCTCCCATAGGACCCCATGGTTTCGACTAATGTAAACATTGTGATTAACGGTACGTTTATGCTACGCTGGCAAGGCGCCAATTTTGACCAATCCGAGTGCTCCTAAGTGGGCAGAGCCATGGCCTCAACCAATCAGCGACGTGCATTTATGAGCGTTTAGACCTCGTCTGGCTTTGTTTACATTATCACGTTTGCTGTTGTGGCAGTGGAAACAGCTCTTTTGCAGACGAAGTGATTTTAACATTTCAACTGATAAGTGAATTCGATTAACTGTTATTTTAAGAAACAGAAGATTTTGTTGATCGGGACAAAATGTTAACCAAATGACTACTTTATATATATACCAGCTGGGGGGGGGGGGGGGGGGCATTACACGGACCCAAGGGATGAGGTTGTCCATGCGTGGATATGTAAGCGGTGGGTGCTGTTGACCTGTGTGTAACAGTGTGCAGAAATTATTTCATGAAATGTAATCATTAGAAAACTGAAGCGAAATGTATAATCACTACCTAACGACCTGTTTGTACACAATATTTTTCATATACACTCCATCTTCTACACAAATTGGGTATTCAGTGAACACGGTGGCATTTGAATCTTGACTTAACTCTTGACTGCCACGTATGATTGTCCATGAGCGAAAAACTGGTTGTGGCAAATACAATCCCAAATGATGAACCGACTGTCCTTGTGCTTTGTTAATGATCGTTGCAAGTGCAACTTGAACAGGGGACTAACTAGATTCGTCGGAGTTGGGACGGAGGAGTGGATTCGCTACCTGATCATGGTAATGCGAGGAATTAAAACTCTTTTACCATCATCGCATCGATGCAATTTCTTGTCAATGGGCAGATTTGAAAATCTTGTTCCATTGCAGAGACCTTGTTCTCCATCGATATTTCGAATCAAAATGATTGGCACTCCAACTTTCAAACGTAGCTTGTGAGGGGGCATTACAGTGAGTGTAAACGTGTTTACAAACTCTTGAGGGTAAAGCCACTGCTGGACATCATGCACTAAACTACCAACTTGTGTATGTAGATGCGTCTGGGTCATTTGTTTACCTTCCTTGTATTTGCACTGTTGTATATTTAATGCTGTAATTTTTTATGTTAAATGGATTTTTTTGTATACAGTTATGCAATTTTTTTAAAATTATGGTATTTCTTTCAAATATGCAAATGTGGCAAACTTAATAAAATAATGCCACGTGTAATTCATGTGAATTGGTGTTCATTGAGTGTAATGTGATCAATCGTATGTCTGATTAAACGTGCGTAAAATATTAATTGAAAATGTACGTGTATGATGTGTATCATCTATGCGTGTGTGTGAGTATAGGAGTAATATTAATGAAATATGTGTTTGTATTATGATCAGTTAGTATTGACATTTTCGTTGTCTAGGGGGTGTATTATGTGTGTGTGGTTATTTGTGATTGTGTGATGTGGATGCTTAGCTTCGTTGTCTAGGGGTGTATTACCAATCGTGATAATACAATGATTCTCGCTTAAACATTTACTGATTATGATTTTAGTATAATTATGTTCAGTCTCAGAATTCAGATCTCACCGCAGGATACAGTTCTTATGATTCAGATAATTATGCAGGAACTTAGGAAGGAACCACTCAGACTCTTCTGTGTTGAGCAACTTTAATATCTAATTTAATATTACTGAGCATACACGCTGCTGAGCATATACATGGTGTGTGTGCTGGCAGGGCGGAGGAAATGGGGCAAGGGTCACGGAATACCTCATCGGGAAGACCCTGGAACCCGCTAGTGGGTTCGAGAAGGGAGGCGGGGCCAGGGCGAAGTCAGTCCACGCCGAGTAGAATAAAATCAGCGGTGGTTGAGAAATTGGTTCAGTGCTGGCAGGCCATGTGGCCAGATGACGAACGTGTCATCCACATATCTCTTCCACACGGAAGGATGTAGGGTGGATGTCTAAATGAAAACATTCGCTACCACTGGCGATAAGGTAAGGGTAGCACAAAGCACGGAGAGGAACAATGACAGAACCACAGGTAGCAAGGGGCCTGCACTGGACAACGAGAGCCACACAAGGGGCGGTTAATCATTAGCGGAGGTTCATCATCCCTTGCTCCGCTGTCCTTGTAAGGGCTGGGGCTATGTGGGCCAGTGGTGATACCCTGGGACTCCCGGCCTGACGTCCTTGTAAGGGCCGGGTCCGAGGAAGCCAGTGGTCGGGACCCGTACCTTGCCTGGGTCGGGTCAGATAGCCTCCCCTAGGTCACTCGTAGCCAGAGGACCTAAGAGCGTAGCTGGTGTTCGGTACGTTAGCCCGGAGGCTGTGTTCCTAGGCTGTAATAGGGAAGGGCTGTTGCCTGAGTGAAGGCAGGAACTGTTGCCTGAGTGAAGGCTGCTGTTGTGAGTTATAAATAAATGCGTTGCCTATACAACTGGTCTCCAAGAACTCACTACACAAGCAGAGTCGTAACTTGCTGTGGTGCTTCCATTCTTCACTGCTGTTTGGCTGTGATCTCCGATTCTCTGAGTTGCATTGCCCTGTTAGGTGCCTCTGCATTAACGGGCTGGGGTCTCACGAACAATGCCGCCTCTGCTCCCTTAGCCTCGATGTATGTGTATTACGAGAGTTCACCGCCGATCACCGATCAGTGGGATAGGCTCCGCCGCTTGGACCATCACCCAATCAGAGGGACGAGCCGGAGTTAGGGGCGGAGCTTAAAGGCTCTGGGGAAGTAACCATCTAGAAGGTTCGTGAGGCGGTGTGGCGGTAGGCGGGGCTTGATGACATAGGCCAGGGGATATTAGAGGAGGCAGAAGAAAGCTCGGGAGCCATGTGCGGAGTCAGAGAGCGGGACCACGTCGCGCGCCTCCGGGAACGCCAGCGGCCACGTGGCGGCCCAGAGGCTTCCTCCCAGCGAGCCGCCTGTCAGCGGCACGCGGGAGAGGCTGTGAAAGAGCCGGCGTGAGCGAACACCGAACCACGCGGGAACGAGAGTGCAGCCATGCAGCCGTGTCGGAGAGAGAGAGAGAGCAGGGCTGTCCAGCTGTGGAAGAGTAATAAACAAAAAAGAAGACACGAGTCCAGATCGGTGTTGCAGTGGTTTATTTCATATCGATGGTTCTGGCTGTGTGATGGGCTGTGTGTCTCACTGGCGCGACCACCGCTAGCAGTGGTTCTCTTGCGTGGACGCGCTTGCCTCTCACAGCGCAGTTGGCAGCGCCGCAGCTTGTGTTACACATAGACATGTCATTAACTTACTCATCCCCCTAGTCTCCCTGCCTAATCTCTCCCAACAACAAAGTGATAATCTCCCATTAACACTGCTGTTGTGCGCATATGCGGGGATGATACTCTTATGCAGCGACGGAAACTCATTTCATGCTAATCTCTCTCCCCCATTAACACAACTGACGTGCTTGCGTCCGGGGACAAAATTCCTTTCCAGTTCTGACCCCGCCTGCTTGCCCAACGCCACGTAAATAACCTCTTGTTGTAACAGCTCTCTCGCTGGATTGTTTTTTCTGCCTGAGGACGACCGCTTGTGTTGCGATCAAAAAGTCGTGAAATATTATTTTTTGTTTATTTTATTTTTCTACCTACGTGACTTTACGGAAAGAACCAAAGAGTATGGATTCCTGCAGTCATGAAATCTTCAAATAAAGATCATACACATACATTTTCACTTCATATTTTACGCACGTTTAATCACACATACGATTGATCACATTACACTGACACTCAATGAACATCAATTAACGTGAATTATACGTATCATTATTTTAATATTT